AATTACTCTTTTCAAATAAATATTTTCAAATTTTAAAATAGCCACTTACGTACATTTTAATTTAATAAAATTCTGCAGCGTAAATGTTCATTTGCCCAACGTGACAACACCGCGTCGGCACAGTGCACGCGTTGGATTTGATAAGCGCTGAGCGCTGAGCTCCGCAGTGGCCACAGCCAATCTGAGTCACCCACGCAACAGTCTGCAACTGAATGTTGAATTTGTTACATTGCACAAACGTAATACGTGAAAATCGCTGTGTCAGTTTTTTTATGATAACGTTTACGTACGGCTTATCTATCAAAGGTAAGTAATTGCATATTTTATACAAAATGTGAAGCATTCATCCGCATTATTTTGTTTAGAGACGAAAAAATTAAAATGGATAAGTTCCTCAAACTTAAAAGAAAAACTACTGTGGAACAACTCATAATGATGATGAAGCGAGCACCAGCGGAGATACTGGAACTTTACGAAGTGGGGTTGATGACAAATCGAAGCGCAGCAAAAAAATGTTGAACCGGCAATATTTGGATGAATATTTGGATTATGGCTTCATTTGGACTGGGGAAGAAGACTGTCCAATTCCCAAGTGTATTGTTTGTGGGCAGACACTCGCTAATAGCGCAGTGACTCCGGCTAAATTAAAACGCCATTTTACTACCAAACACGCTAGTGTAGCTTCCAAAAATAAAGATTATTTCAAGCGACTTTTGGAGACACAAGCTAAACAAGCGAAACAATTTGAAAGGTCGCTAACAATTTCCGACAAAGCACAAATAGCTTCATATAAGGTCGCCGAATTAATTTCTTTGAAACAGAAACCACACACTGTTGCAGAATCTCTTATATTACCAGCATGTTGTGAGATGGTCAAAATTATGTTTGGCAACGATGCACAAAACGAAATACGGAAAATTCCTATGTCGGATGATACAATAAGGAATATTGTTGATTTATCTGCAGATATTGAGGAAAAAGTTACAAATAAACTTTACAAAAAAAAAGTTCGCATTGCAGGTGGACGAATCCACTGATATTAGTGGCAACGCTCATTTATTAGGATTTATTCAATTTGTCGACGAAGGTGAAATAGTCAATCAGTTTTTAAGCTGCAGAGAACTTACAGCACGTACAACAGGTCAGAATGTATTTGATTCCATAACGTCATTTTTAGAGAAAAAAAATATATCATGGGACTTTTGCGTAGGAATTTGTACGGATGGTGCCCCTTCCATGGTAGGCTCCATAAAAGATTTTTGTACCCTTGCAAAAAAGCGAAATGAAAATATCATATCTACGCACTGTTTCTTGCATAGAGAATCTCTAATTTCAAAAACGCTACCAGCTACTTTAAAATCTGTATGGGACCAAGTGGTTAATGTAGTGAATTACATCAAATCAAGACCACTAAAAACCCGTCTTTTTAAACAACTCTGCATCTCAATGGAATCAAAGTATGAATGTTTGTTGCTGCACACCGAAGTTAGATGGTTGTCAAGGGGCAAAGTATTATGTCGAATTTATGAACTTAGAACGGAGCTGTTAACTTTTTTCCAAGAAGAAGGTAATGACACATTTACCACATATTTTGAAAATGATGCATGGTGCACTAAAGTGGCATATTTGGCCGATATTTTTAATTATTTAAATGGCGTTAACTCAAGTATGCAAGGCAAAAATGAAAATATTTTAACGCCCACGAACAAGCTGTCAGCTTTCCAGAAAAAATTGTCATTTTGGAAGAAGCGCATTTTAGAGACAAATAAAATGGATATGTTTCCACTACTTCAGAATGAAGGTGATGAAGATAAAGAACAAGAAATCACGCATATAGTTACAGAACACTTATCACTATTAGAGGAGACAGTTGCCAGGTATTTTCCATCTCTGAACGTAGAAAAATATGACTGGATAAGAAGTCCTTTTAGCACAAGTAATACAGCCAATTTCCAGTTTTCTCTGAACCAAGAAGAAGAATTTATGTCGTTGTCATCTGATCGTACTCTGAAAATTAAGTTTTCAGAAGTGAATGTTCAGGAATTTTGGATCTTGGTCCAAGAGGAATATCCACTTCTTGCCAAAAAAGCGATTAGTATTTTAATACAGTTTTCAACGTCCTATTTATGTGAATTTGGGTTCTCATCTTTAACAAACATTAAAAATAAGAAACGGGAAAGGCTGCTAAACTTAGAACAAGAAATGAGAGTAGCTCTTTCCCACATCAGGCCTGATATTGAGCAAATTTGCAAACGACACCAGGCACAAGTGTCTCACTAATTTGAAGTATTTACTCATATAATGTATTTTGAGAATTACGCTTTTGTTAATTTTAAAAATGTTTTTTGTTTTCATATTTTAAGTAAAATTTTACAAATTTGAGTACGTATAATAAAGTTTATTACAGAATTTATGTTCTAATCCTAATTTGTTTATCAATATATGCATGTTATTGCTTTGGTGTTCCGCAATTTTTTTCGGTAATTAAAAGTGTTCCGTCGCCACAAAAAGGTTGAGAACCACTGATCTAGATTATGATCATCCGGTATATTCTGCTAGATAACAAACGAGGCTCTGGCGTCCGAGTGATTGCCGGTATAAGCAATCCCCCTCTTACTGACCAACAGCTTCGGGTGGAAGAGTCGGTAAATGGAAGGGCACATTCTTGTTCTAGAAATGGAAAATCATTTTTAAATGCGGACGAACTAGACATGATCAACGGCGTGGAAAATATAAATAAGGCAACGGAAAACCAATGCATTAAAGGCTCATAGAGCATCTCTAGTCATCATGTAATCCCTAGTTAGTCATCATTAAAATATGGACTAAGAATGAATATAAAAAGACTAAATACATGATAATAACTACTATACTATATTATATACTTTAATTTATAATATTTATTTACAATATTTATTTCGGACTGAAAACTGTTTACAATAAAATTTGTATTTACACTAATGAACCGTTAAACTAGAACTCCGGCAATTCCCTTTGAACAGACTAGAAGGTCCACCGGACTGGTTTTCATTTGACTTTCTTCTGAAAACTTCGAATCATAGGAGACCCGTCAGGTATTACCAGAAGTTTCTGTCGGCAGGTGTATTATCTGGAAAATACTTGAATGAAAAAGGATATTTACAGTTTAGATATTATGAGTCATTATTTATCGTAACAATAGCATTTCTGAATGGTCATTTGAAAGATAAAATATACATGTAATCACCAGAGGATTTTGATTTAGCAGGTAAGCAATGTTTAAAATTAAATAAAAGGTTAGGCTAGGTTAGGCTTATGGGCTTGAACAGTTATCAAGGCCTGGAATTATGAAGTAAATAATTGTTTGGAAAATATTAATTATAAGAAATCAAAACATGAACCTTGTATCTATATAAAAAAAATAATAAAATTACGCTCGTAGCCGTATATGTAGATAATTTTTTGTCTTTTCAAATGATGAAAAGTAAACTAAAAAATGAACTGAAAAGTAAATTTGTTATTAAAAATTTGGGTAAAATTAAGGAGTATTTAGGTGTGCAAATAGAGTTTGATACAAATAAAGGTTATATTGCTTTAAATAAAAAAAAACTATATTATTAAGTTGTTAGGAGATTGTATGGAGATTTAACATGAGTGATCCCAAAGGAGTTAAAACTCCAAATTGAACAAAAGTATCTTTAACAATTGATGATAGTAAAAATTGTATTATATAGCGATTTTTCTCTAAAAGGGACCACTGTCTGTTTTCGTATAAATTAATAGTATTTAAAACTAAATATAACTTTTTAAAATAAAGTTTAGTAGTAAGATTATATTTTGTAAAAAATATGCTTAAGTAAAAAAATGACACAGTTAACATCTAGAAAACATCCCTAATACATCTCTAATGGGACGTCTCTCGGACGACCTTATGGGACGTCCCTGGTATGTCCGACTAGAAATATCTCTTGGACGTCCAAAAGAAGTCCCGGGACGTTTGGACCTTAAACTGGCATAAAATGGACGTCCCAGTGATGTCTTGTGCTGTCTGGGGAGATAAATTTCCTTATTAGAGGCTAATTGCGAGTTCCAGACCAGATACATCATTTACAGTCAGTTTCTTGAGCCAATTTGACAAGTATAATATACTTTATATTATAATCAGTCATCGAATCTAAACTCGATGGTCTGATGGGAAATGTGCAAGAGTATTGAGTATTGAGGTATTTAAAAGACACTTTATTCTCTGATTTACTGATTTTGGCATTCGGCTGGTAGATGGCGCACACGCAAAATAATTGAATTGTTTTTTCCTAATTAATAAATCCTAAAACAACTAAATAGCCGAACGTACAAACAGTTTGTTAGTTTTTAATAGCCTACAAACCATTTCCCATCTATCTACATTAATTTTATTTAAAAAATAAGTAACTAAGCAATTCAGTTGCTACTGAGGATCCATAGAGATACCTTTTCTTGGGTTGGCAACCCTCTGAGAGTTTTGCGTTGCCATGATGTAAATATGTTTAAAACTACATTATTTAAATTTTACAAAACAATGGGTTTAATTAACAAAGTTAACATTATTTAAAGGGTTTGTACCCTTATATTTAGTGCCTTCCCTGATGTATACCTGTAAACTGCACTGATAATGGACTTCGAAAACTTTCTGTGATGTAACTCGAAAGGGCAATTTAAGAATAAATATAACTTTTGTAATGGATTTGTTACATAAATTACGTAAATTTTATGATACGTGGTATACAGCTAAGTACAATAATTTTCCTTGTGGATATTTATAAGTAACCACGAATATGGGTGCATATATTCTAATATGGCGTCAATATTCGTTATAAGTAGTGTTGCCTAAATTGCAGGTGCGACATTTTATGACTGTCTACATACTTCGCTATGTCGTTTCTTCTTTTTTCTGATATGTTATAACTATTTCTATCCCCATAACCTATAAATTTAAAATAACCTAAATTCTGTGCCTAAATATATTTATGTTAAAATAGAAAATGTCTTTTTATAAACATTCTAGCCTTTTGAAGAATCAGTGCATATTTCTGTATGTAAATTACATTCGGCCAACAGGTAAAATTCTAGAAAACAGACTTTAACTTTACAAGATATCCCCATACATAGAAATCTGAGTTTAAGTTTACAATAAATATATCACATACCGTGTTATGACTGTATCTTTTGTAAAACATGTACTTTCCAGGTTGTCGTAATATAAGTAGATGGGTAGCACCGACTCTAAGAGAACTTCAAAGGCGAAGGGATAAAGTAGGACCAGAGCCGGAACGACCTAGATCCAGTTACTTGGAATGGAACTACAATGCTGAACTTTTTGCATTTGGTAAACGTTTGGGAGAAGAGTTGGACAGAAAAGTTTTAAGACGAGCACTAGTACAAAAAGAGTACGCAAATTTAACTGAATTTAAGGCACAAAATGAAGGTAACAAGACTGTTATTGTTTAAAGATGTATGTACAATTTAATACCAATTAGGTCTAGGAAAACTGCAGACTCTTTTAAAAACATTTACTGAACTACACATTTGAAAATTGTGTTAAATGTATACTATCACAACTTGCAGGCTGATTGTTCAGATTGATAATATTGAAACATATAATTATAATACCTACAGCTGCTGTATTGCCAATCTCATGTATTTTATTTAATATTAATTATAAAAATGAAAATCAGATTGTATATTTCTCGTAAGAAATTTTTTTTGTAGGTACTTCATGTAAATGAATTCATAACTACAGTTCTCTCTTGATAATCTGAAAGTATGGGAATATGGGGTGTCAGATTACCAAAAGTAATTTTATATTTGGCATTGTTTTGCTAGCATTCTTCTTCTTCTTTGTGTTCCATCTCTGTGAAGGAGGTTGGCAATCATCATGGCTATTCTGATCTTAGATGCTGCCGCTCTGAATAGCTTGATTTATGTGCATCTGTACCATTCCCTCAAGTTACACAACCATGAGATTCTTCTCATTCCTACACTTCTCTTGCCCTGGATTTTCCTTGTATAATTATTTGAAGTATGTTGTATCTTTCATTACATATAACATGCCCAAGGTATTGCAGCTTTTTTATCTTGATGGTTTCCAATATTTCTATTCTTTTGTTGACTCTTCTCATGATTTTATTGTTTGTTACATGCTTGATCCATGATATCTTCAGGATTCCTCTATACACCCAGAGTTCAAATGCTTCCAGCTTCTTAGTAGTTGACACATTAAGTATCCATGCTTCTATTCCGTAAAGCAGAGTTGAAAAAATTACTAACAGTAGCCTACAGTATTCTTAAATTTTTTGCATAAAATTCTACCTAGATTAATATGCAAATGAAACACCTGTTTCGGCTAACTAAAACATATTTATTAAAAGAAATATGGAATCTAATAATAATAATAAGCTAATAATAATAAATTTACTAATAAACTAAGGCAGATTAATTATGGATGTATGTAAATACATAATTATATACTGTGCTCACACTTTGAAGAAATCTTTGATTGTTTTTTGCTTTTTCTTGTTTATACAGTCTGTCATTGCTTGTTCTTGTATCTCCTTAACATCAAATTTTTTCAAAGTCATATGCTCTTTCCTCGCACCAATGCATCAAAGTTTTTGCAGCCAATATGGCATCATCACAGTTGACAGTGAAAGATTGTTCATCCTGTGCTTCCTGGGTCATGTGTTCATCATGGTCTGTCATTTCTTTAATTATTTCATAATCCGTTAAGTCAGCATTGAGATTGTCATCTAAAATCCACTCTTGTAAAGCTTATCTTGATTCTGATGAATTAGTCATATTGTTGCAAATTTAAAGGGCAGCATCTAGAACAACTTGCACAGATTGGTCATTGTTTTCTTTGTTAACTACTATTGGAAGGACTAGGTTGTTGTGCCAAATATTCTTCCACAATTTAATCAATGTAGTAGACTTGACTTGCTCCCAGGCAAACGCAGCATTAATGATTGCATCTTTGATGTTAAAGTTTTTCAAAATTGAAGTGATGTCAGCAATATCCACATCCACACAGAGTTGTTTCTTATAGTTGAGAGTTTTAATAATGCTTTGATCCATGGGCTGAATCAATGCAGTATTTTTCGGTAATGCATTGCCTCAGTATATATATACATTGTTTAGATTTTTAATTCATCCATATCAGGTTGTCCTGGAGCATTGTCTAACATCTGGCAGTTTCTTTTTTCTTAGCTCATCTTTAACTTGTGGGACAAAGCTTTTCTTTTACCAATCCAAAAAAACTTCTTGGCATCCAGGCATGGCTTTGCCACGTGTATGTAATTGGTAACTTCTCAATTTTAACATTTTTGAAGGCACGAGGTTGTTTAAACTTAAATAATTTTGATTTGTGGAATCCAGATGCATTCGCGTATACAATAAGAGTGATACATTCTTTCTGAAGTTTTCTACCAAAAACTTTTTTTCATCTAAAGTGACAAATGTCTTTATTAGAAGTTGCCGCCAATTTAGACAAGTTTCATCAGCATTATAAAGTTGTTCATGAATTAGATCTAATTCAGTGATATCTTTTTGCTTAAGTTCTGAACAAATTCAGATATCTCAGACTCATCTGCACTCAGCTACACTCATCTAAAATTGTAAATCATTCAGTACCATTTTTTTTTAAGTTTTTGAACCAACCTGGATTAGCATGTAAATCAGTTTTCTTTGTTAATTCCTGATAAAAAAACTGAGTTTATTTTTTAAAATGTATACTCGCATCTTTAATAATATCCCATTTATTTTTTATAGTCAGCGTTCTGTGCTTTCGTTTTGAACTTGTACTCGCCATTGAACTGAACTTTCTAAACAAATTAAATAAAAGTTTGGCACTACATATTAATGTATTTAAAAACTCTAACCGAACTGCTCACAGAGTGTGTCTGATTGCAAAACATTGGAGTATCAAAGGTGTACTGTATTATTAATTTGTTATGTCAAAAATTAAATGAGTAATATTGTTATCAATCTACTACTTGACATTTTTACTAGCTATAACTAAAGTTATGAACATCTTACAGCATACTACCAGATCTCCAAAAACCCTCCAAAGAAATGATTTGTTTAAAACACATATTACCTAAAGTATTTTCAATTCAAAAAATCTCAAAACAATTAATTTTTAGGTATAACTGTGGAAAAACTGGAACACAACGATGAATTGATCAAAGAGGGAGAAGAAATTATAAATAATTATTTAAAGAAAGAATTAAGTAAAATTTATCCAGAGGATATAACCAAATCATTGATTGTATATCTAACAACAGAAGAGATGCTATCACATATTGGTATTCATATTGGTTTAAAAGATATCATTTTATCAGAAGTAAGATATATTTTAATACATTAAAATACACTGTCTTTCTTTGGTCGCTTCCATAGAGACATTTTGGTCTTTTCTGAGAGCAAAACAGATCCCCATCGTTCCAACGTCCAGTTCAGATTATCCCGTGCAGACGCAGACGATGAGATTATTTTTCTCCAGTCTTTGTCTTACTGTCCACTGACTAATAACCAGGCTTACTTACCCTGTTATTTCACGGATCTGTTGCACTTAAACGGCATTTTAAGGTGACGATTTCTTAATATTTTTGACACAATAAAGCGATCATCACGAGCAGTAGTACATCGCTTTCTACCTGTTCCAGGTCCACTGCGAAAGAATCCAGTGTCCTCATAACGTTTGAATATTTTTCGAACCGATGCGCGTGCCATATCCAGTTGTATACTCAGCAGTACAACAGCTCGCTGGCTAAGTCTGTTTTCTAATAATGCAATAACTTGGGCGGCTTTCTCTGCTGTCGTATCCATTAAACTTACGCACACTTGAACACTAATTAATTATGAAAAATGAACAATATACAATTTTTTGTTGCAAAGATAATAATAACAAATTTTGACAAATTTCTTATTATAGTTATAAACATCAAATAAACACTTTTCTATGTTTATCAGTTGCTATGCATATAAATGGTAAGCAATCGATAATAAACTTATATTCATATTAGAACGTATTAAATTATCTTTCAAACAGTATATCCTTTTTTTGATACAAGTGATTAGTTTCAGAAAAAATATAGTTTAAGTCAAAAGTTTAATGTGGGCCGGTTTCTATTAACACAATTTTATCTTTTTAATTCGTTTACTGGTATGTTACTATTTTACTTTAATTCTTCTATTTCTTTTTGTTGATTCCTTATAAATTTCCATATTTATTTTTTTACACTGCAGAAGTTGCTTTTCTTTCTAATTGTAAGTGGCTCCCAATGTTCATTATTTAATTCTTCTTATCAGCTCCTTTGTTTCAGTTTCTATTTTTCTATGTGATCTTTTCTACTTCAACTAGGCCTCTCGTTTTATTTGCATTTCTCTTTTATTTCTTTTCTAAACCATGGCACTTTTTGTTGACTATGTTTATTACCATATATTTTTCTACATCTTTAATTGCTGCCTCCTCAATATTGCTTTTTATTTTTTCCCATCTCTCATTTATATCTTCAATGTTAGTTGTTTTTTAGTTATATTCTTTTAATTGAGTACACTTAGTACTCTATTGCTAAATCGATACCCTTTGAGCAAAAAAATAATGTTATTTCCTAAATATAATTCATTTTTCCATTTAAAATATGCTTTAATAACAGCTCTATATTTAAAATATACATAGATACATAATCAATCCTCTTCTACCTTGAGGTGTAGAGGCCGATCCGATGGCCAAATGGGCCAGCACACTCACTCAATGTGAATAGTCTAGTGGTTTCATGAACTATACTTAAAATATGTATGTATATATTTTAGGAATTTCCAGTTTCAAAAAATACTCTTAGTAATACATTTAAAGCAGTAGTAGCAGCCGTGAAGAGGTCCAAAGATGTGGCTCGCGCAGAAAATTTTGTAAAAGATTTAGTTTTAACCCAGCTAAATGGAAAAGATGTATATGAAATATGGGATCCTAAAGAACCATATGAATATCTAACAAAACTGTTAAAAGAAAGAGGAATTACTGCTATTGAACCAAGATTATGCAATGAGTCTGCTTCTAATACGATACTTGCTTGTTTCCAAGTTGGATTGTATAGTAACAAAAAATTATTGGGTCTAGGTAAGTAGTTTCTTAATGTTAATTTATTTATACACTACTCAAAAAACACTCCTTTATTGCTTCATACTTTTTTAGTAAAAACTGTTACACAAATAAAACATCCAAATTCTTAAAGATACATATTTTCTCCTTGTAAATTAGTACTTATAACAAGCAAGAAGCCAATATAGAGTCAGGGCAATATAATCTTTCGTCATATAGGAACATAGTAGATATGTTCACAATAACAAACTATTTCATTAATTCAAAATAGATTCTTCCGAATAACAAGTTAGCAAAAAACTCTTTTCAGGCGAAATCGTAAAAGGAAAACTGCTCAAAAGCAAGATCAATTTTCCGTTCTTTCGTCTTTATGTAAAAATATCCTAACAGCAAATGATCTTTGAACTGCTCTTGCATGTTTGTAATCAAAGTGTTAGAAATGGAAGAGGAACTAACTTCAAACTTATAATTCCTTACGAAACTCGCCTGATCACTATGAAAAGTGAGCTACCCCTGAAGTACGAAAGGAGCTAAAACTTTCAACGTCGGAAGCATGATACGTAAAGGAAGAGATCTCGCCGATTTCATGCAGAGGAGTATTCACACAGAGGTGTACTTTGTGTGCAGGAAATTCGTTGAAAAGGTAATAAGTCGAGAGATCTTGAGATGGATGCAAGTAGGATATAGTAGTTCGAACAGTCACAGTAGCCATGGAGTAGGTATTATTTTGAACAACAAGTGGAAGGAATATCTTGTAGGGATAACCAAAAAAAGTGATAGAATAATGAGTGTACAGGCAATACCAACGTGAACATCATTATGTGCCTACGCCCAGAAAAAGGATGAATTTTGGAATGCCCTTGATTGTGAAATGCTCGAAATTCCTTTAGACGCAAAGTGTTTTATTGGAGGTGATTTGCAGTGGCATGGGATCTGACTGCATTAATATGTTCTTTATGAAGACTAAAAGATAGTAGGACATCAGAAAGTAAAGTGGTAGAAGTTAAAGAAAGAGTATTAAGAACCGATGTTGAAATAAAGCAAAGGAATGAAGATGAAGTTGTTGAGTCGTTAAATAGGATGAAGAGTGGTAAGGCAGTAGGACCTGATGAAATATCTGTGAAGGTTTGGAAGGCTCTAGGAGAGGAAGGGATTGATATTTTGTGACAAAGGATAAGTAAGATATATTCCCAAAATAAATCTGGAAGAATTGTACAAAGCATAATAAAAGGTGACATATTTTCATATAGCAAAAACTCAAAAAACATATGCTTGTAGAAATTGCATCTACCGTGTTTTTGTAGTTTTTATATTATTAAACAATCTTAAGAATAAATGAGTAAAGAAGTTTACTGACATAAATACAATACTTAAATAAACTGTTTAAATTTATACAAAAATAATGTGTATTAATTACTCAAAACAACTGTTTCAGTTAACTACATTTTGTTGTAATTTAAATATCAGTTTGTATATATAAAATAAATTTTAATTATTTACTATGTTTTAGGTTGGGGTGAAAATATAAAGACGGCAAAAGAAACTGCAGCTTTAGATGCAATACAAAGATTGTATAGTCGAAATAATGCAAATAAAAATGAAAAGTAAAATATAGTATTTAACAAATTCCTTTTATTTGATCGACCTAATCCCCAATCTTGGAAAACAATCAATGGCGGGTCCAGAAATTTTTACCGGGTGCGGGGGGTCATGGGTCTTGAGGGTGATTTTGATATAGGATTTAGATTTTTGCACCTTTACGATTGATATGATTTGTGTCTCATGTCAAGGAACCATTTTCTCAATAATTATTTTAAGCGATATATTAAACCAATGAGGAGTTACTAAAACCCAAATACACTACGGCTAAAAAACAAAGACATGTGGGAGTATAAACGAATTGACAAAGAAATAAGAAAACCTATTAGAGAACCAGGACCACCAATCACACAAGACGAAGTGAAAGCCGAAATTAAAGCAGGTAAAGCACCAGGGCCCGACAACTTTCATTCAGAATTTCTAAAAAATCATGGGAGACAAAGGAATAAAATGGCTTACGACAACGTTCAATAAAATCTATGGCTCGGGAAAGATCCCAGAAAGCTGATTAAAATCTACATTTATTGTTATACCTAAAAAACCTAATACAAAAAAAAATGCGAAGAGCATCGTATTATTAGTCTAGTGAGCCACATTCTTAACCCATTCATGCCCAGAATTTGCTAGTGATTTTTTTGTGTAATATTTTAGTCACGGAACTTTTATGGTACTTTAAATGTAAAAATGGTATTAAAAATCATATCAGTATCTAAGTGCCAAAATGGCAGCCTGGCAACTCTAGTTGCCACTGGGATAAAGCGGTGTAAATATAAGAATAATAAAAAACATTAGTATTTATAGTATTTATTTATTAAATGCTGTTATAACATCAATTTTAAGTGTGAAACACTTTAAATCAGTTGTCAGGGTGTAAGGCAATATCACATTTAATACAAAAATAGGATGTACGATTGCCACAGATCTTACAACGACGATACTTTGACGCACCTTTCTGAATAATATGATCAGTGTGGTCTTTTCTGAGTTCTTGAAGTACAGGTGAAAAATTCAATGACGTTTTGACTCCAAGTATTTTTGGAAGGGTACCTACCAAATGATTTTAAAAGGTACACTGTGCATTGGCGCCTAAAGTTCAATAATGATATGTCATAACCAAGTCGGCGATATAAAAGCCAACCTTGTACACATGCGACATCTACAGCCCATGAAAAAAAAGCCACCGCCATTTTTTTTTATCTAATTCGGCACCGGTAAGAAGCCACGAATTGATCCATTATATCAACGCCTCCCATGTTGCTGTTGTACCGTTCAATAGGACCTGGAATATCGATTGTGATATTTTTCTTTTCTGCACGAGAATATCTATTAGCCTTTTTCATCGGATAGACTTTGTCACAATTGGTAAGCATTGTGACAACGTTATTATCATTCCAGCGAACTAGCAAAAGATCACCAGACGAAGAAGTAGCCAAGTCACCTCTTTGTTTTTTTTTACGCATTTTTTTCTGGAAGTTTCATTGCGGCATTACATCGATTTTCATGTAATGTTCCGGTACCTCCAATTTCTGTGAAACTCAATTCTTGCAACAATGCAACCGACGTAAAAAGATTATCAAAATAAAGTCTATTTCCTTTTTTCAATTGCACGTGATCAATTAAACCTAGAACAACATCACCACCTTGTCCTAGACCAGATTGAGGAAGGCGTGTGGAAGAGCCACAATACGGTTCAACATGATGGATGTAACCCGAAGGATCGGCAGCTACCCACAGTTTGTACCCAAATCTAATGGGTTTGCCCCTTATAAATTGTTTACTTCCATGTCTCCCGTAATAAGGAATCATACTCTCATCGATGCTTACAGTGGGACCAGGAGTAATTTGCTTGAATGCAGAATTTAGCATATTAAACAAAGGGCGAATTTTATACATTCGATCAGTACCGTCATTGGACTGATTGTCGGCGAGATGAATAAAACTCTAAGTTCATCGAAACGATTTCGTCTCATTGTATTTGAGACTATTGGTGTGTGAACGTCATCGTCTATGGTCCAGTAAAGCCGTCTGCAAGGCAGTGGGTGATATCCCGATAAGAGCATAACCCCAACAAACGTTAAAATTTCTGCCGAAGTAGCGTTAAGGTTGTGTACTAATTTTTGCCCTGCATAAGAATTTGTTTCGCGAACAATGTGCTCTAGTGTATCTTGTGTAAAATAATACCTAAATGCGTCAATCGGGCTCTTAATTGTTTCTTTCAAAAGATACTCTACATTAGGACGGTATTCGACATCTGGTTCAGGAACCTTTGAAGTAAATTCAAAAATATTTGATTTCCATGTAGTTGGATTTAAACGTGGCCGTTTGGCAGACTTAGGACATTTGGAAGCAGATGGTTGAAAAATACGAATCTGCCGAGAGGTACTCGGTTGGGAAACATTTTCGGTATCATCAGCAGCTTCAATTTCATGAAGCTTCACACTTACTTGAGAGCGCAGGATACGAGCTGGAAGATGGTTGGTATCGCCAGCCACTTCTTCATCCGAGAAATCGGAATCCTTATCTTTGTCTGCGTCTGGAGGTTCTTCAGGTGGACAAATCGATATATACTCAGGCATTTCATTATCTTCTTTGAGAGCTTCAAGAAGTTCGTGAAAAAGTAACCCCTTGCCATCTCTTCCTCGTACATACCTGAAAATATCACATGATAATCCATATTCCCAGTGGCAACTCAAGTTGCCATGCATTTTTACATATGTATATTGAAAAAAGTAAATGACTGACGAATAACAATTATTGTTAAAAATGACGACAAAAGCTTTCTATTGAAGACAATAAATCATTTGTTTGAAAAAATACATTTATATATTTGTATACTTACATAGAACTGTCGGCGGCCATGAATATAATTATACACGTACAACACCACTATGCACACTATCGATACTAACTAATTGAATGATAGATACAAACTGTCGCTTTGCGGAATTTGTTAGCCGATAACCCCTTCCATCTAATTTAACTGCACTCTGCGAATAAGAATGTCGGAGAGGGGAGAGGGAGACATTCATAGGCGTGGCAACTGTAGTTGCCAACGGGCATGAATGGGTTAAGAACTTGTTACAGATAATACACCGAAGAATTTATCAGAAATGCGAGTCACAGATCTCACGAACGCAGTTTGGATTCAGGGATGCGTTAGGTACAAGAGAAGCCTTGTTCGCGGTTCAGGTATTATTTCAAAGGTGCAGAGACGTCAACTGTAATATTTATGCTTTATCGACTACCAGAAAGCTTTCGACAGAATCAAGCCCGATAAGGTCATGGATATACTAAAGGCAACTGATCTGGATAACAAAGACCTTCAAGTAATCAAGAACATATACTACAATCCATCAGCAACCATTCGGGTGAGAGACCAACTAACAGAGGAAGTTGCAATAAAGAGAGGAGTACGACAGGGCTGCATACTCTCTCCCCTATTATTTAACACACGTTATGAGCCAGGCCTTAAAACATATCGAAGAGGGTATTCTCATAAATGGTGAACGCCATCAATTAACAATAACAGATATGCAGGCGACACCATCCTCTTTGCAGACAGTTTAGAAGGTTTACAGACACTAGTAACGGAATTGTGGAGAATCAGTCGAGAATATGGGCTTGATTTGAACATTAAGAAAACAAAGTATCAAATAACAATGGTCATCAGTAAGAAGCATATTTCAGCTAGTCAATTACTGGTAGATCAGCAACAAATACTCCAAGTGCCCAGTTACTACTATTTAGGAACCACCACATAAACGACCAATGGAACCACTCAGTTGAGATAAAACAAAGAATTGAAAAAGCCAGGTCAGCGTTTGTCAGAATGAGCAAGATATTTAAGAGCCACGACCTACCCTTAAAAACGAAAATCCGTTTATTGAGATGCTACGTGTTTACAGTGCTGCTCTATGGGGTTGAATCATGGACACTAACCGAGGCATCCATGGGAAAACTCGAGGCGTTTGAGATGTGGTGTTATAGACGAATACTGAGGATCTCCTGGGTGGACCGAATAACAAACATTGAGGTTCTACGTCGGATGGATAAAACATGTAAAATTATATCCACATTGAAACAGCGCAAGCTAGAATATCTTGGACATATAATGCGAAATGATCATAGATATAACCTGCTGCAACTTATATTACAGAGAAAGGTCTTCGGAAAGAGGGGGCCAGGAAGAAGAATATCTCGGCTACAGAACTTACGAAAATGGTTTTCCTTGACCACTTCAGGACTATTTCGAGCTGCGGTCAATAAAATTAGAATTGCTATGCTAGTAGCCAATATCCGCAACGCATAGGCACCACAAGAAGAAGAAATACCCTACGGGTGCAAACAAGGGTACAACATTAAGTGGTGTTAAACTTAAACCAAAAAATAATAATAATAATTTAAACCCACAATGACAGTAAAATCAAATGTACCGTTCGCGTCATAAAAAACTGGTACAACTCTTATAATCAAAAAACGTGTTTTTTAAGTCGTGTACGTTGATCTTGTCACATGTGTCATTCTAATTTCTAGGGCACCGTTGCCAGTTCAACGAAAATATATGAAACCAGCTAAAAGCAGGATTGTGTGACAGGCCGCCAGTTTTGAGTACACTAAAAACTAAAACATTATCGAGCATTCTCGATCAGTCAGTCACAATAAATTTGTTTAAACATGCATACTAAAAAATTATCATATTAATTTTGTAATTTTCCATCATCTCAATTAAGTACACATATATTATGAGTTAATCTTTCCTCCGAAGTTCTATTTTTAAGCCAAGTCTTTAGACGCTTGAGCGTAGAAAAACTACACTCTGCTATTGCTGCACTGACTGGTAGTGTAATTAATATTTGGAGAAATATTCTGATATTTGGATACATATTGAATATCACAGCTGTCTAATACTTCTAAAATAGAATTAAGAAGTTTTACATTATTTTGCACGACTCTTCCACTTTTGTGTCTACAGTGAAAACTCTTGTTCTACTGTGAAATATGCAGTAGATGGTCCAATAATATCCTGGAAGGTGTCAACAATTTTTTAATGCAACTTTATCTTCTTGTGTTTTATTAGTTTTAGGTAAAACAACTCGAAGATTAAATAGATTCATAACTTCCGGTGAAAGTCGTTCTTCTAAATCAGTTAAGACATTGTCTAAACGGGGTAAATAAATAGATCTTCGAAAATATTCTTCGCAAAAGTTAGCAGGTTGGTTTTGACGACAGGTTTGTTTGTTCAGCTATTTTCTTTACTTCATAGTAAAGTTTGCTAGAAACTTTATCTTTTATTTTAAGGAAATCTTTTATTTTGAAGAATGCATTTAATGTCCTCTATGGCCTCAGTAGCCTTCTTCAAATCTAATTTTGGTAACTAAAGAAGACGATTAAGTGATACAGTTGTACTTAAAACATCACTAAGACAAACTACTGAAATGAGAAATTCTGGGCTCCTAATAGATTGGATTAATGAAAATGCATCAGCTGACATTTTACTGTCCTTCCACATAGAAATTGTTTCAAGGGCGTTGTATATTTTGATGATTGATTCGCCCTGGAACTAAAGATTACCTTCATAGTTTCACAAATACCTTGGACGGTAGCTTCAGTTGCTTACGCCGGTACATATACAGCACAGGCCCTGCTGTAGAACATGCTAATTTCGTACACGTTACGGCATGGGCGCTGAAAATGTTAAAATATGGATATTGTGATTATCCAGAACCAGATTTGGATGATACAATTTTTCAATTGCAGTGTGTGAATATCAGTTCTACAGGAAAAAAAACGGGTGCGGCAGTCCAGTAGGACTGCCGGTAGAAGTTATACTTCTATATACGCGTTCGCCGTTACAAATTTATATGTGAGTCAATAAAAAGAATTAGTTATATATTTGCATAGTTTGCTGTATATAAACATTTGACCTGTAATAGGAGTATAGTAAATGAAGGATTGTATTTATATTTTAATAAATATATATATATATATATATATATATATATATATATTTATTTATTTTCATATAAGTATAAAAGGAGTTGAATGCAAAAATTTTCATACTCACATACTCTGCAATAAAATTCATTGCTTATTTCGTTATTAATATAACAATTACAATACAGTAAATACACTGCAACATAATTTAATATAATAATACAATATAAATTAAAATTAAATATTCATAAGTATTTAAAACTGACAATATACATAACTTACTTTACGAAAATAATTATAAAAACCAACAACTCTTATTATGTTGTAAATTTTCATTTTATTTTAAAATTTAGCATTTTGCGTATATTACATATATTTAATAAGATTAATGTGAGGTTTTTAAATATTTCAAAAATTAAAAGGGAAATTCATATTGGGATTTGAACTCACAACACCAGCGTCTGAACCAACACGTAAAGGATTTGCCAATTAGACAAGACACTAACGGATTTCAAAACTGACAGTTCTCGGTCAAACAGTGATTATTTTAAAATACAAAAGCCTAAAATAATTATAAACGTTTAATAAATAATACAAAACATATCACATAAATAATAATATTAATACATATTATATTATAATATTATATATATATATATATATATATATATATATATATATATATATATACAATATTATATATATATATATGTATATATATATATATATATATATATATATATATATATATATATATATATATATATATGTGTGTATACATATAGTATGCAGTAATCAGTGATTCACAGTTTTATAGTATTTGAAAGTATATTAAAATTATAATATCTATATGGTGATTGGAGATTATTAAGAAGAAAAAATAAGATTATAAGTAAGAAGCAAAGAAGAAACAATAAATAAAGAAGAATATTTTACCCATTTATAAATGCTATTAAGAAGAAAAATATTTTAAATTGATGGAAGCTGATAATTAAAACATTGTGGTATATTTGGAAAAAGCAATTTCACAAAAACAAGGATAACCGAGGCCGATAAAGAAGATATTGAGTGGTGATTATACCCTTTATTTTGGAATTTAGTTTCATTTAGGCATTCAGTGATAGAAAGGTACCAAAATTTGTGAATATAATTTAATTATTGTAAGAATTTCAAATTGAAGATAGGTTGTTCTAAATTGATATTGTCTATATTAGATATATATGTGTGTTTCATAATAGTTATAATAAAGATAATTTAAAAAAGTACTTACAAACTAATTCTTTGAGGACCGCGATAAAAACCCTATACTTAAAATCCTCAGTGCTCATACACAAACAAAACGTCATAGCAATATATATATATATATATATATATATATATATATATATATATATATATATATATATATATATATAAAAGGAACATGTTTATTCTCGAGAGAGGAAGAGAGAGAAAATATATCTTCTGCCTCTCTCTTACTCATTTTCTTACATATGTAATAGTTTCACAGATTCACTCCAATGTAAATTTCCAACGCCGACCGTGCGTATAGAAGTATAACTTCAAAAATCGGTAAAAAGGAAATTCGTACTTAGAACTTAATCAGTTGCCGCGTTGCTCAAGCAGGTGAAGCTCACACCACCGCGGAAACCTCATAGAGCCGTGCGTCAAGGACATAACTGAATGTATGTTGGGCGATAAAGCCAAGAAACTAGTAAGCACGGTACCTTTGTCAAATAATACAATCTCGCGCCGAATCGGAACTTAGCAGAGGATGTGAAAGAAAGCTTACTTTGTTGAATAAAATCTACCAAGTTATCACTACAGATAGATGAGTCAACAGATGTCTTGGACGAAACCGTGAAGATAATTAATTTTATTAAATCACGACCACTGAATACAAGGCTGTTTAGAGTGATGTGTGATGACATGGGCAGTATACATTCGTCTTTACTTCTTTATATGGAAGTACGGTGGCTGTCTCGCGGCAAATATTTAGCTAGGCTCTTTGAACGAAAGCTAAAGTTAGAACCTTCCTAATTGACAGCAATTTTGCCTTGGGTACTCGATTGTGTAGCGAGCATTGGCTAATTAAATTGGAATATTTAACTGATACTTTTAACAGGGCCAATGAAGTTAGTCTCTCACTTCAGGAAAAGGCAATAACTGTATTTAATACCAATGATAAAATACAGGCGTATAGGAAGAAATTCATTTTTTGGGTAGAATCGGTGAAAAATAAAATCTGGATAGCTTTCCACTAATCACCGAATTTAGAGAAGAACTGAAATCGAACATACCTAAAGCTGTCTTTAACGAGTTCCACACTCATCTGCCAAATTTACTTGAAAACTTCCATAATTATTTTCCTAAGGAATTCCACGATAAAATTAAAGACAACTTCTGTGTTGCAGATCCATACCTTACAAAGTTAAAAAAACCAGCTTCCTTAACATCTCAGCAGTATGAATGCCTGGTAGATTTGACATCGGATTCTGTGATAAAAAAACATTTTGAAAGTAAATCGCTAGTATATTTTTGGTGTTAACTCAAAGACGAATTTAAAATTTTGTCAAATAAAGCGAAAATTATACTTCTCACATTAAAATGAAGACATTATATTTTTTTAAGATTTTAGAAAATGGATCTGTGTGTTCATTTTATTTTTACTTTTCGTTATATATAATTAAGTTTCTTATGTTTGCGATTGAAAAAAATTGAGATTAAAGTAAATGGAAAATGTAATGGTTAATATTACCCCCTCCAACTAATATCTATGTTCTCCATGGTACCTATATAGGTTTCAGGTGCAAAATGGTAAGTGCTCCCTACAGAATTTCTGTTCTGAATAGTGCTCCTCGGCCAAAAAACTTTAGGGGTAACGCTGCTATATACGAACGAAACAATTGAAGTTGTCAACAAATTTGTATACTTAGGAGTTACTCTAACCACATCACTTTTCAAAGCAATGGTCGATACGTCTAATCTAATCGATGTGTTAAAATTTATCTATAATGGTATAACATATCATATTCGACCTTCTGAAATTTGTACTATTTGCAACACAAACAAGTCTGAAACTCTTACATTTACTATTTGAATGTCCCATTTACAGTTCAATAAAGTCGGTTAATATGCCCCCCTTTAACAATTACCGACCTTATTGGCTGTCTTAATGATGTCACTATAACGTCTTTAATCATTTAAGTTTTAAATGAATAAGCTTCAGTTTCTCATTTATTTAGTTAAGTTTACTAAATTTGCTCTCCACCTCAAATAAGTGAAAGCGCTTATCTTTTTGTTACATTTGTTAATACTTAGTTAATATAAGGTATAAGTATAGTTAATATAATTTGTACTTTCTTGCGATCCTTGTTATCAAACTAGTTTTTAAAAACAATAAAAATGTCTATCTATCTATCTTACACAGCAATAAAACTTTATTTTATCGCTGATTTAACCGTATTCACACGATTTATGTATTGTTGCCGAGGTAACCAATCATGAAAATCGAGTGCAAATTTCAATATAAACCTTTTCTCAAAACGTATGTTCCTTTCGTTATTACTGATAACAATTACGATATTTTTATTTGCTTCCTGATAATTAAATTAAATGGGCATCAAAATCAGAGACCCAACTCTTTTAAATCTCATGTCTTATGTAAAAGGTTGTGAAAAAAGTACTTAAATCATATCAAAATAAATTTTATTTTTTAGTATCAATAAATAAAAATCACTTATGTATAATAAATAATATTGCTTGCACTAATTCATTTCCTCGACATTGGTATCCATTATCAATGTTCCTGTCATATCTTTAATACGAACTCTTCCATTAGCGTACCTGGACTGTTGAGTGCCATCAGGATAAATAATTTTAACGGTACCATTGGGATATTCTCTTTTCTGTAAACAATGTGATAGCAAATTAAAAGTTAATAATTATTAAATGCATAAAATTATGCGTGTAAGTGTTAAATTAACTTTAAGAGGTACTAAAAAATTCAGAGTTAATTGTAATTAAAATTAGAATACCCTGTAGAGCTACTTTTTTTGCATCCAGCTATTGATGCAGAAATCGTATAACTAGAGAAGGGATGTCTCTATTGGCTTTATCGATTACCAAAAAGAATTTTACAATGTGAAGTATGGTGTGTTAATACAGGCGTTAAGAGAGATTGGTCTCGATCGAAAAGATATGAGGATGTTCCAACAGCTTCACCGGAATTCAAAGGCCGAATGAAGGATTACCGTCGGTTTATATCCATTGTCTTCACGTACCTACCACCCATCAACCAATTTATTGTAAATCTTCAAGATATTCTGCGAACCGTATCGTCTGCGAATCGTACATTATTGACTGGTCGACCATTTCCTTGTATCCCCGTAGTTAGTTCATCTAGTGCTTCCTGGATTATTTTCTCTTAGTATATATTGAACGTGATAAAAGTTTGTAATGGGAGGGGGGGAGTAATGGCAGTTAAAACACCACGCTTGCCAGGCGGGTTGGTGAGTGAGTTATCAGCTGCCCATTCTGGGTCAGACGCTGTTTGTAGCCGTCCACTCTGGATCAGACGCTACATTTAATTTTATACTAACACTAAAATTGGGGTGCCACTTCCGCCATACACACCGTACCGAAGATGTTCTTCTCCGCCGTGGATACCGTTGTGGTCTTCATCCGTGACCCTGGACAAGGGACCCTAAGCAGGTACTAGTTTTCCGGATCAGAAAACTCCTGTATGGCTACCCTCACTTAGTTTATCCTGCAGACCAATGCAGTTGCCCGGGGTGTGGCACGTGGAGCCATAAGTGAGAGTTAGATGTCTTATGAGGACCAGTTATCAAGAACCATCTCCCGTCTATGACGCTCGTTGTGGTCGTTCCAATAAAAGGTACTACCTCTATAACACAACCCTACACCCCCTTACCCTACTTTTTACTTATGGTTCCCAAACGTGGACATTTACAAAAGCAAACATGGACAAAATCATAAAAACCCAAAGAGCAATGGAAAGACAAATGTTGCACATAAGAATAATGGATAAAAAGAGAAGCGAGTGGATAAGAGAGAAAACAAAAGTGAGGGATGTTAGACAAGAAGTAGCAAAATTGAAATGGAGATTTGCCGGACACAATATAAGACAAAAAGAAGACCGATGGAACAAAATTCTTATAAGTTGGAGACTGTGGGAATATAAACGAAGCAGAGGAAGGCCCCAAATGAGATGGGCAGATGATATCAAGAAGCACGTGGGCTCTAGGTGGATGACTGTAGCGACAGACAGAGAAGAATGGAAAAGGATTGGGGAGGCCTATGTCCAAAGATGGACCGAAGAAGGCTACTTAGATAGATATATTGAACAGAGTAGGAGACAGGACACAGCCTTGTCTGACACCCCTCTCAATCTATATTTCTTTTGAAAAAACGTTATTCTCCTTTACCACAGCTATCTGCTTATGATGGAGAGCGCTAATGATCTTGATGTCTATACGTACATTGGCTGATTAATATCCATGTACCTTTGCACGAGTATATTTACGGCGAACACAGTTTCCCTCGTTCTCAGTGCACTTCTAAATTCAAATTGTGTGTCGCTAATATATTGCTCAAGTTTGTTTTGTATTCTCCAGTGTATAATTTTTTAAAATTATGGTGAGTATGTTAGATTATTCGTACCTGATATTTCTCCAATTGTTTATGAAGATTTAAGTTTCTCTACTAGCTGCTCAATCTCTTCGCATCTGTCATTATATCGTTGGATATACTTCTGCCATCTTTTAAGCCTTTCCCTAACGTCTGGAGTTATTTTGTCGTTTTTATCCAGCAGTATGTTAAATTATTCGTACCTGATATTTCTCCAATTGTTTATGAAGATTTAAGTTTCTCTACTAGCTGCTCAATCTCTTCGCATCTGTCATTATATCGTTGGATATACTTCTGCCATCTTTTAAGCCTTTCCCTAACGTCTGGAGTTATTTTGTTGTTTTTATCCAGCAGTATGTTAAATTATTCGTACCTGATATTTCTCCAATTTTTTATGAAGATTTAAGTTTCTCTACTAGCTGCTCAATCTCTTCGCATCTGTCATTATATTATCTTTCCTTTGTCTCCCTGATCTTTCTCCTTATTTCTGCATATAGAATATCATATGTGGTTCTCTGGTTTTATTAAACCTCCTTTCTTCTATGAGATTCAGAATCTCCTCGGTCATCCATTAATGTTTACTCTTAATTGGCTTAGGTGTTAGTGTTGTCTCAGATCTGCGTATAAGAGCACTTTTAACATAAGGTAGTGGTTTCCCCTTGCTTTTTACATCCATATGTCAACTTTTTTTTACAAAATTTTGGTTCATCCGCCTTTGGGCAGAATTATCGACCCCAGGACAAACTGGTTGATCAATAAGTCGTGAGTTGTTTATATCGACACCTTAAAGTATCTTTAAACACTTTGTGTACTACTAGCGTCACCTATTATTACTAAAAGTAACATCGGTAAAAGCAAAACTTATTCTAACTATATATTATTTAATACTAAACTGATTACACTTTTTCATCCTATCTCAGCGTATTTCCACTTCTCCAACTTTATTGTTCAAGATAACTACTATGAAGTCTTATTGATAAATGAAAGCTGTGATTGAGGGTTATAATTTAAAAAGTTAAAAAGCCTTTACTTATTCCTAACTAGTTTACAACATCATTGTGTTCGACTACTCTCTTCGTATAACTCTGTGGTTTATTAAGATTTAAGAAATCATCATCTTCAGTTCGACAAAGCTGTATTTAATATTTTTGTCCAGATACATGGATCTTAATCATACTTTAAGTACTGTTTGGGATCAATGCGTTTCAATGTTTGTTTTTGAATCGGAACACCTTATATTCTTAGGATTTTCTTCCAGATGTTTTTGTACTTTTCGAAGCTTTCTCCTGTTATAAAGAGAGGTTTGATAACTGTACTGACTTTGGATGGATATGGCCTATGTCTAGAATCTCAATATAAAAACTAAGTTGTAAAATCTTTTCATATATCAAGCGACGAGCTGTAGTAAAATTACGAGTATTCTTACAAAGGAATAATAAACGTGGCATGAGTGGCTAAAAGTTCCATCAAAAATCAATGGGGCAGTACAACATAACATAAAATTCAAGTGATGTACGAGGATATATTGAGAAATGCTTAGCCTATTACTATAAAATCAAATTAAAATAACATAAAATCCCAACTGATGTACGAGGATATATTGAGAAATTCTTAGCCTATTATAAAATTAAATTTAAAAGTCAAATTATTTTATTATTTAACTTACATTTCTATTAATTGGATATATTTATTACAAAGAATCTGAAACGTTACTAGAAAATTAATTATTCTACAAACCAGGCCTACATATCTTCTATCACCTCTTCTTTAAAAGAAAATGTATGATCGTTTACAACGTTCCACGTTTTCTCTCACTACATATATATTTTTTTTCGTAGGGTGAAACGTCGAAGAGTAAATCTCAGTATTATAACCTTAACGAGAGAATCGTTCGAGATTAATTATTCTTCTTCTTCTTTGGGTGCCGTGTCCGTATTCAGACGTTGGCCGTCATCATGCTTACAATTTCCTGAAACCTTTCTCTGTCGGCTGCTGCGCGAAATAATTCTTCTACTGTGAAACCACACCATTGTCTAATATTACGCAGCCATGAAAGTTTCTTTCGACCAATCCATCTCTTTCCTTCCACTTTTCCTTGTATTATAAGGCGAAGTAAATGGTATTTGGGTCCTCTAATTATATGGCCGAAGTATTCTGTTTTTCTCCTCTTTATGATGTTTATGAGCAGACGTTCTGAGTTGATCATTTGAAGAACATCTTCATTGGAAGTGTGCGAAACCCACGATATCTTTAGGATTCGTCTATAGCACCACATTTCGAATGCTTCTAACTTGTTTAGCATTGTGGTTTTTAACGTCCATGTCTCGCAACCATACAATAGGATCGACCACACATAACATTTCAGGACCTTCTTACGAATGTTCATTGACAGGTTTCTGTTGCATAAAACTGGTTTCCAGGGCCCTGATTCTATTTCATTTCGATGTCGAAATTTAAAAGCGACTACGCCATGACAGTCGCAATCGCTAGCGATTCTCATTCATTTCGATTTTAGTTAAAAGTGGGGACATTTACTTTATCATTTTGACACTGCTCAGAATTTGGGTTGGCCGTCTTGTTTATTGGCTGCACGCTTGTTAAATGTTTGTTTTGTTTACATTTTACGATTTTTGTTTCTTGTTTGAATTGTTAAATTTTTAGTGGTCATTCTCAATGATTATATTTTGAATTGAAAGAAAATGGATGGAGGCTGTTGGTGATGGTGGCACTAAATTGTCTGTGGACCAAAAAGAAATTATGATGGCTTTTGACTTAGTGGTTATATTATATTTTTAAATTTACTGCAGCTTAGTATTGGTATTACTAAAAACAATACATTACCGCTCTAAAAATTCTTGATGAGTTTAAAGATTATTTTATATCTCCAAATAAGAGTGTAGAATTAAAATAAATTATTACAACCAAATTATTTATTATTTCTATCTTCCATTACAGCCTGTTGAATATATTCAAAAATTGTGGTTTCCAATTTAGTTTTAATATTGGGACATTTTATTTCTTTAATTTTTACACCACAGTATATTTTAAAAAATAATCAGTAGCATCTGGCTTGGGGCCCCCAGGTACCGCAGTTCTATTTTTATAGGTGTTAAAATTTCGACCAATTATGTGCCGAATCACATACAATTTCTGATAAAACGCATATTAATACTTTTTGTCTCAGTTTTCGTTGCAACAATCAAACAAAACAACACCGCCTAAACTGAACCTAACCTCGCTTCTCCCAGTCCCGCTAGTCATTGTCAGATTAATTTCGACTCGAAATTAAATTTCAACCACTTTCTTGAAGTTGAAATTAATTTCGATAAATCGAAATTTAGTGACGTCCTTTGGTTAGTTCAGCTGAAATCCACTAGGCTCGCAAAGTCGCATTTCGACGTCGCCATATTGATTTCAACATGTTTTCAGTCGAAATCTCAATTAGAATCAGGGCCCAGGTCATAAAAGCCTTACGTGATATTTCGATCCTGGATATTATCTCTTCATCAGAGTCACAATTTACATTTAACCAGCTGCCAAGGTATTTGAAATGATTTACCCTTTCTATCTCTTCTCCATTAAGAGAAAGCAGACCTTGATCTATATGGATCTTTCCAACTGCCATCCACTTTGTCTTTGAAATGTTGATTTTTAGGCCTCTCCGATAACTTGCTTCACTGACTAGATTTAGTAATGTTTGGAGATCTTGTAAACTTTCTGCAAGAATGGCTGTATCGTCAGCGTATCTAATATTGTTGATTACAAGATTAATTCTTAACAATCTAAAAAAAAACCTGAAGCAAGAAATTTTCTAGCAAATTTTTTGACACGAAGTTTCTTAATCCTTAGTTAACTACAGCGACTCGATTACTACTTTGTATCTGAGTCGTAGAAATATACCCAAGTTTCATGCATATTAACAACAAAGCTCAACCAAGCACAGATTAAATGTGATATTTCTACCTTTGCTTGTTGACTCTCCTGATCAACATTCAGACATTGCAGATGCATTTTGCAGAAAATTTTCTTATGTCCAAATAATCTTGAACTATGCGATGGAAAAGATGAAATATTCGATGTTCTCAGATATTCTTTTTCCGAATTAGCCTTCAATATTGGTCTTCATATTCATCTCTTTTGAAGCTTACAATTCAAATTTTTCACAATCTCATACGAAACGCATTGATCGCCAAGGGTATTTATTAGGCCTATCTTCATTAATTTGCTCACTTCTAAATCCTTTCCAATAAAGTTGATGACGGCTCGATACTCAAAATTTCACAATTTTGTTAGACTCATTTTTTAATTTTATTATGTTTTTTGGTTTTTTGAAACAGAACCAGCCTAGTACTTATCAATACATCCTCGAAATATTAATATTTTTGTAAACCCAAGCAGCACTAATAACCTATGTGTTGAAATTAAATAAAAAATGTGTAGCATTAAAATTGCTAGTAAATACTTAAAATGATACAAATATATTTTTCGTAGAGGCAATTTCTTTCGTAGTAATTTTTATATAACCAAACATAAATACAATTTAAATTACCTTAAATTGTGGAGTTTCAATTTCTCGTTGACCATTAGGAAGATATATTATTTTTTCTTCTTTTCCTATTACCACTCTAGAACCATCAGGGTTATTTACTTCTTGCGATCCATCAGGGTATTTAATTAAAATTCTGCCATCTACAGTGGTCACATGAACTTTACCATCCGGAAATCTTTCCTCTTTTTGGCCACTAAAAGTTAAAAATTATTTTAATATAAAACACGAAATTTTAACTAAAAAAAGAATTACACTATATGTCGAAATGAAGCAAGGGTATTAAATCATATTGTTACAATTAATTCTGTTATTAAATAATTCCCCTAGCCTAATTTATTTTAATAATATATATATATATATATATATATATATATATATATATATATATATATATATACCCGTATTTAGGCGCCACGCCCTTCCGGTAGGGACCTATGGAGGAGTATCATCAAGCCGCAAGCCCTTATCTCTTACCATACTGCTCCACCATAGGCCGATCAGACACCAGCATATTCTAGTCTGAGCTGCAGATTCATCTAGAATTTTAAACTGCTGCGTTAGCCTTTTTATTTTTCTGTACACCGAGCTGGGGCTCGAACACACATCCGCTAAACCATTCTACATTGAAGCAAATGAGAATCGGCCACCTAGCCCGCTTGGCTATCTGACCGACTATTTTAACAATTCCTCTCCTATATTTTTTATGTTTTAGCATGGTGCCAATATTCCAACTTTACTTTTTACATTTTATAATTCAATAAATGAGATTTTATAGTTTATTCGTCTTCCGGGTTTGGACCGTGTCATTTGTGAGTGACCCAAAAGTGGGTTCATCTCGACGTTTCGCTACAATTGTATGTAGCTTCTTCAGGAGAACAAAGAAAAAGAAATCAAAAGACAGGAAGATGGGTAGTTAGCAACGGTAACTCAGTTACTCAACGCAACCAGAGGCGAATACTAACTACCAAGATGGGCATTTGGTCACAGTAACTCAACTACTCAACGCAGCCAGAGGTGAAAACCAAATGCCAGGACAGGGATTCACGTCCAACAGCTCAGAACACTAACGCGTCGAGAGGCGGGGAGTGAATCCTCCACAGCACAGTTTTCTTTGATTTTTTGTCCCATTTATACCTTTTTTCTTTAGGTATCAGCATCATTACCTCAGATCCAAAGATTCTTAGTCCAAAGATTTGTTGGTCCAAATTTCTATCGGAGTTTTAGTCACACCTGTTACAATTGAACGGTTTCTTAGATAAACAGCAGTGTTGACTGCTTCAGCCCAAAATATCTTTTCGAGGCCAGAGTCAAACAAAAGACACCTTGCTTTCTCCACTATCGATCTGTTTAATCGTTCTACAGCACCATTTTGTTGTGGAGAATAAGGATTTGACTTTTGATGAATGATTCCATTACTTGTTAGAATATTTTCAAAAATATTACTACAAAATTCACCACCTCCATCGGTTCTCAAAATCTTTATTTTAGTATCCTTCTGTTTTTCTACTAAAGATTTAAAATTTTGAAAAGTTTCATCTTTACCCTTTTGGAAATATACAAAAGACATCTTACTAAAATCATCTTGAAGGATAAAGAAATATCTAGAACCTCCTAATGAAGTCATCTCCATCGGTCCACACAGGTCAGCATGGATAATCTCCAAGCAAGCACTAGCTCTATTACCTCTGTAACTAAATGGGAGTCTAATCTGCTTTCCTTCACAACATACTTTGCATACATCATTGTTTGTTATATTACTGTTGCAATTTATACCGTCTACTAAACCATTCTTCATTAGATTTAAGTCTTTATAATTTATGTGACCAAATCTTCTGTGCCATGTTTCACTACTAATTGTAGTTGCCATAAAAGCTTTCTGCTTATTGGGCACTTCAAAATTTAAACGATATACATTGTCTATCAAATCAGCTGTTGCAATCTATCCATTTTTATTGTATATTTTGCAACCTGCATTGTTAAATATAACATCATTTCCATTTTTTATCAGTTGAGAAACAGATAAAAGGTTTGTTGTCAGATCAGGAACATATGATATATTATTTATGCTTACCTCAGTTCTCTTATTATCAACAATTGTGGTTATCATCATATCACCAGCACATTCTACCGTTAATAGTTCACTGTTAGCCACAGATATATTCGACATACTACCATCTCGAATATTTCTCAACCAATCTTTTCTAGCTGTAAGATGCGTGCTGCATCCAGAATCGATATAAAAATCTGTAGATTTAAATTTTCTACTTAAAAACACTGCACTAAACGCATTATTATTAGCATTAGGGCATTTATTCATGAAATGACCTTTCTGTTTACAACGAAAACAGGTTATATTTCTCTTGTCTTTCTTGTTGACGTTCTTGACATGATTAGTGCTAACTTCACTCGACTTTGTAGCAAAAGCTTTCTGCTTTCCACTGCTAGCGCCGTCTATCTGCATATCAAGCAATTTCGATTTAATTTCGTCGGTGGTAAAAGCGATTCCTGAATGTTCGATAGCTAGAATCATGGGCATATACCTTTCTGGAAGTCCCGCCAAAAGTAATGACCCCACCCACGTGTCATCAATCTTGAAGCCGGTCCTATTCAATTTCTGAGCCGTTTCGATCACTTGATTAACGTATGATTCCATGGAATTGCAGTTTTCCAACCGTAAAGATATCAGCCTTCGAAGCAATCCTATTTTCCTCGAAAAACCTGAATCTTCGAATAATTTTTTCAGCGTATCCCATACATCTTTCGCCGTGCAAGCATCTTCTACATGCAAATATAGGGATGAATCTAATGTCAATATTAACTTAGCTTTAGCTTTGGCAACAAGTGTTGTGTCTTCTTCAGTTCCCTGGATACACTTGGACAATCCTTCTAGAACGAAGACATTCTTAACCGCAAACGACCAGTCCTGGTAATTGTCCCTACCGGTTAAACGCGGTACACTTGTAAGATAGTTTACAGCCATTTTCGATACTGTTAATCCACCAACTTTTTACCGAATGAACACGTACTACACTATTTGAACTAATCGGAAATCTTCCACTTAATCGTCTGGGCCCATAACCTATTGAGAAATTATAAAGTTCTGGAACAAAAATGGAGATTTGATGAACAAAATGAAACACGTGTTTACTCTATGACTGTAATTTTGCTACTACTCTAAAAAAGGAAAGTGATACATTATTCAACTAGTAAAGTAGGCAATAGATGACACTGCTAGAAAATATTTAAATTTATTTATCTATATCCAACAGTTCTTCGGCCGTTTTGAAACTGGCAAACCTTAAGGAAAAATGTGGAAAAGAGTCAGAAATATATTCTTGGATTAAACACACAAAATAAAAAAAAATATCTGCAGTAATTTCCAAAAAAAAGGTATACGCTTTTTTCGAAAAAAACAATGTATTTTTAGGTTATGCACACTCAACACACGGGTCTATAAAAATATACAATTTACAAAGAAAATACGACATCTCTGTTGTAACACTAGTTATTACTCCCTCTACAAGTTGAGTGTAAAAGAAAAGCTTCACAAAACTCTGGCTTTAAAGTATGGAAGCAGTGCTCGGTTTGCAGTAAAATTGTAAAACACGGAACGCCGTCCATGTTAAGTGAAAGTCTTGCTTGTTGATGTGGAATAAAATAACCAAAAATTAACCAAGAAACCTGTTTTTAACCAAGAAACCTGATTTCTTCCTACACCTCTACGGCCTTCTATTTTGCCTTTAAGGTTTTAGACATTGCTATTCTGCGTTTTATTTTTATTTATTTATTTAGCGTTTGGCTACATCACAGTTACGATTTGTGTATAAAAAATGTGGACAATACAATACAATATATTAGCTATTGTGATATCGCCGATTTTCACAGTTACCTCATGGATGTTGTTCTTGGTAGAAGTGGAAATTAAGGCTACATTTTCTTTATTTGTGCGTATATAGGTTGCTACACGTTAGGCTCTATCGTAGGTAGCACCAAGTAGATCATAGCCTGTGATTTTTCCTCTTAAACTCAATTGAACGTTTTCTGTATGTGTTTCTTGTATTGCGATCAGGTCTGTATCATTTTCTTTTAATAATCTGTAAATAATTTGGCGTTTGCACTACTTATGTTGTTAAACTGCATTAAGTTGTTAAACTCGTACACTGGATTCGAGTTTTTTTTTGTCAATTGATCCTTAAAAGGTCCATTTCATCTTTAATAACTTGGAAAACTGTGATTTCTTTCTGTCAGGAAGATTGTCTGGCACCTCTTGTGCTAGTTTATTTAGATTGCCCAGTGTACATTTTATTTCTATGTCTGGATCTAGTTGGTCCGTTATGACATTTCCTAAAAATGTAATTTTGTAAATTTTTTCAACTTCTTAGGGTGCCTGTCCGTTCCGAACGTTGGCGATTATTCGGGCTATAATGATTTTATTGGTTGCAATACGAAATAGCTGTGTTGAGGGCTTCCTATACCATGCTCTCAGGTTAGCAAGCCAGGATATTCTTCGTCGTCCTGGGGCTCTTTTTCGTTTAATTTTACCCTGCAAAATGCATTGGAGAAGCATTTTTCAACTTGGACCCCATTTAATTGAAGCTTTGCATCTGGATGTGGCTTACGACTAAAAACTAAAAATTTGGTTTTGTTTGAGTTTATTTTAATGTCCCTTTCCTCTCCTACTTCGTAAATACGATCAAACAGACTTTGAAGACCTTCAATATTTTCTGGCAGAATTACTGTATCATCCGCGTATCTAATTACATGAAATAGTTTCTTGTTGATTTTTATTCCATATGGCTGTCTCTTAATGCATTTTTAAATAACTGGCTGTTTTAACATTAAACAATGTTGGAGACATAATACAACCTTATCTGACTCCTCTTGTATGTATTTTTCATCGGTATAGTTGTCTCCAATTTTTACGGTAGCAGTTTGATTCCAGTACAAATTTTTAATGACAGGAATATGTTTGTCATCTATTTATATATTTTTAGCATCTGCATTAATTTTACATGTTATACTTTATCGAGTGCCTTTTCGAGTCCAGAAAGCATGCAAATGCATATTTTCTTTGATCACGGAATTTTTGTAAAGCATAGCATTCGTAGTTCCCATAGCATTTCTAAAACCAAATTGGTTATCTTCGAGATCTTCTTTACATTTGCGTGTAATTCTGTTGTGGAGTATTATTAGAAAAATCTTAAAATTGCGGCTCATTAGGCTAATTAACTGATATTCGTCCTGTTAAGGATAAGTGACGGTGCGTGGTGAGTTGTCTATGAACTACATTAAAGCTAAAAGAACGCAACATCAATAAAAATCTGTAATAATCAACTTTTATATTTAGTATATTTCATTCAAGTAAATTATTTTTAACACGTCGGAAAATTTGAACAATGCCGTTGCGTTCTTTTAGCTTTAATGTAGTTCGTCGAGCCAGTCTGAGGGAATCACTCCGGTGTTATATATTGCATTTAAAAGTTTAACTACAACTTTTATGTTATCTTAATCTATTAGCTTCAGCAATTTAACGAGTGTATCATCTGAACCACGAGCTTTCCTAATTCTAGCACATTTAAAGCGTATTCTACCTCTGATTTTATAGTTTCTGGGCCGTCAGAAATGTTAAATAGTAATCTAAATCAACTCTAAATCAGTTTAAAAAATATATTATAAAACTTTCCACTTGTTTCGCAAGCGTGTATAATAGATACATATTACAAACACAATTACTTATGAATATCATCAAACATTATGCGAAGGCGTACAACACAGTGCCTAGACAAGAGCTATGGAGATGTATAAAAGGAATGGGTTCCTTCCGAAAATTTTTCAGTAATTGTTGGTTTGCATCAACGCTCTTCACTGAGTCCCTACCTGTTTAATTTTAGTGATGGATGTTCTGACAGAGAAAGTAAGGAAGGTGCTCCTTGGTCAATTCTCTTTGCTGATTATATGGTGTTAGTAAAGGAGAGCAAAGATATGTTGGAGGAGAAGTTGGAAGGTTGAAGAATGGCTATTGAAGAGGGAGGACTTAAGATTAGCAGATCAAAAACGAAGTATATGTGATTTGGAGGTAGAGGAATGGTTGAGGACTTAAATATCTTTTAGTAGGAATTTCTTAGAGAAAAACTAGGAACAATAGGAGAATTTAAATATCTTGCCTCCTACATTACGGAAAATGCGGCACTAGATCGAAAAATTGCCCAAAGGACACAAGCTGGTTTGTTTAACTGGAAGCGAATTAGCGGGGTACTTTGTGATTGAAAAATCGGGGAATGGATGAAAGGAAATATATACAAGAGTGTAATGAGACCTGCGTTGGTGTACGACGGTGAAGTGTGGCCTGTAAAGAAGATTCAGAAAAATAAGATGGAGGTAGATGAAATAAAAATGTTACGGTGGATACTAGTTAAGACTAGAAGGAACAGGACCAGGAACGACTTGATTAGGGGATGTGCCGGGGTGACTACAGTCGCAAAAAAAGATTCTATAACAAAGATTGCACTGGTTTGGTCATGTCAGACGTATTAATGAAAACTCTGTGGGACGAAGGATAGAGATGTTAGAGGTTGATGGAAGGAGAGCTAGAGAAAAACCGAGGAGAAGTTGGAAGGACTGTAAGGCAGAAGACTTACGAGAAAACGGTGTAGATGAAGAAGATCCGATGAACAGGAATGAGTGGCGATGAAGAGTAAGGAACAGCGACCCCGGAAAAAAAACCATAACACTGGAAAAGCGGAGCAGAAAAATAATCATCAAACATTATAAAAAAATTACTTACTTGGGAAATTCGGTAATTTCCGTACCATCAGCATGTTTTGTTAACCATACACTTTTACTAGCAAAGTAGTACTTCTGAGTTTGGTTTATACGATTTGTTTCCCTAATGTCTCCATTCGCATATTGCAAATAAATTAGATTACCATCAGGTGAAATTGTTTTGCTTGTACCATTCGCGAATTTTATTTCCTTTGATCCGTCGGGAAACTCTTGCTCTATTAAAACTACATTAAGTTTGTTTTAGTAAATAGTTATCAAAATTGATAAGAGTACCGTTACCTTTCCTTGATAAATTTAGATTATCGTTCTGGGCTACCTCTTTGTCAACTAATCCTAAAGTAGATTCGCATTGTTTATCTAAATCTTCATTATTATATATAATCTCTACCGGAGGATTTTTTTTCTTATCGTAAATATTCTGTTTAGGTAAATCCTCCTGAAAAAAGAATTATATACTGTCAGATGAAGTTTTACTACATACAAATACACTTTGGTGTAAATGAAAGGAATTAACTATGTTGTATTCTTTTGAATATATAAGAAAATTCTCGTCAGATTTTCTTTTTATTTCTTATGTCATCTAATAAGAATGTATCTAATGCAATACATTATTTGGAAGTTCATTCAATTATGTATCCAACCGTATCCATAATTTAAAGTAATTTAGGTTTTTATAGTGCCTTGAACTAGTTAGGATGTGGCTAGAGGAGAGAGAACTGACGCTAGCCATACAGAAGACGAAGGCCATAATCTTCAAGGGTCCAAGAGCGGAAGAGCATATCTCCTTCACTCTGGTAGGAGAAAATATCCTACCTGTCAAGAAAATCAAATATCTGGGCGTAATACTGGGCATCAAACTGAGCTTCGGTGAGCACATAATGGTGCAAAAAAATATGATCAAAGAACAGCAGCGCTAACAAAGATCATGCCAAAAATTGCAGGTCCAAGGACAGGTAAAAGGAGAATTCTCATGGAAATGGTCCACTCTACAATACTATACGCAGCACCAGTATGGCAGCAAGTAATGCATAAACAAAATCCACAAGAAAAACAATTCCTGTAGCTGGCTGTATACCACGTATCACAAAAGGGGGTTAGTCTTCGTAAATGGGTATATTTATTTAAAAAACCCTTAAAAGGGCTACATCAAAAAAACAAACAAAAAACAAACAGTCCATCACCAACCTAGCAATTTTAAACCTGATGATGGACTGTTGAGTCCGAAAACGTTTGTTTTTTTGATGTAGCCCTTTTAAGGGGTTTTTAAATAAATATACCCATTTACGAAGACTAACCCCTTTTAATGCATAAACAAAAGTAGAGAAAAATTCTGGAGAAAGCTCAGAGGAAGGCCCTGCTGAAGGTTGTCTGCGCATATAAGACGTTCACCTACTAGTGAGAGAAAGGCAATCACATATGGCACGAGTGAAAATACCAAAGCAGAAGAGAAAAGTGTGACCAACGCGAAATGGTAAGAAAAGTGGGAAAACGAACATAGGGCTGAATGGACAAGAACACTCATACCGGACGTGAGAGACTGGGTAGGAAACGGCCAGAAGGAGAATAACTATTTCTTCACACAGTTCCATAGGGGGCACGGCTCTTTCAGAGCCTACCTGGTAAGGATAGGGAAAGACGAAGACGGCAACTGTGTTGATTGCAGGATTAACGACACGGCAGAACACTGTGTGTTCGATTGCAAAAGGTTCATGAAAGGGAGGACGAAGCTATACGAAAGGATGGAAGTTATGGCGAATAACATTGGCGGGAAGAGGAGAAAATGAATACAAAGAAATCCTGGTGGCAACAACTAAAATAATAAAAAGGAAAGAGATCGTAGAAGGGAAACGACAGCAGGCATAAACGCTAAAGAAAAAAACAGAATAGAAAGATGCCGCCCATGAATGTTAAGACGGTCTAAACTAGACCATCCGCGCGTGTGTGGTTGGGGGTGGTTTTAGTTGATAGGCTGGGCATCACGGACGCACCCGAAAGTACAACTTCCAAGGAGGAAATGCACTCAGGCGTATCCTTTTACTCTGAATCCAACACACATCTTTAGAAGATTTTATACCTTCACCAAAGTAAGGATGTTAGAATTAAATTAACCTCTATTGGAATCAAACAGCGAAAATGAAAGTTGGAAATGAACTGACTGAGTATATGCAGATTCGCCGCAGGGTACGACAAGGGTGTATTTTATCACCCTTGATCATATCCTATCATAGGAAAACAATGCGAAGTTTTAAATTCAAAGGCAAATTCAAAATCAAAGGCAGAAGCATAGGAAGACGAAAAATCTCGTAACTACGCAATCTCCGTGAATGGTTTGGATGCCGTTCAATTAAACTATTCAGGCGCGCAACCAACAAAATTATATGATGCTGGATATGGATGCTGAATGCCGGATAGGAGCGGAACTTGAAGAAGAAGAACTAATTACACTCGGCTGTCAATGTAGATATCCTAATTTTAAAAAGTAATTTTTTAAATAATTGTGGATACTTTTACCTGAACCTGTATTCCTTTTACTACTTTTTGTTTTAGCTCTCCCACATTCTTTCCCTTTTCTTTTTGTTGAATTTTGCTGTTTTCCTTTTTTCCGTTAGTAGGTGAATTGGAATTATCAACCTCTTTAATCGTTTCTTCAGTTAATCTAAAATATTAATTTTTCTTTAAACGTTTTAAACTATTTTTAGGTTTAAAACCCAATGTAATTAATCAAAACTAATTAGTTATTAGTGTTTTAAAAGCAACAAAAATGTGAAAAGCGATAAGACATCTCTTAACCCCACAAATGGTAACGGACAATTCGTAACGGCGTCAATTCATAACAGCGACACTTCATAAGATCGACAGTTCTTAATGGTATAATTCGTAACATCCAAATTGAATTATACTGTTTATTTTTGTCAACGTGGGAAAAACTTTTATTACAATTACAATTGTAATTACATTTATCAATTTAACGAACCAGCATCAGTAAAAACATTTTTACCACTAATATTTCGTGGAGAAATATACATGTTGTCCCATAATTAATTGGACATTAGATAATGGGTGACAGCTGAAATCAAAATAAGGCGTTTGAGCTCGAATTGCTTAGGCTAAATGTTGTTAATTTTCGTTCTACAGTGTGATTCATTAACATTTGTTTATATTATTTTTAGGGATATATTCAAAACTATTCAACCGATTTAAGTGAAAGTTATTTTTACCATTGATACTAGGTGGCGCCACCGACTGTAACATTGGTTCATTAATGTGACCATAATTTGTTTGTCCTCCCTGTATAAACATTCTAGGAAAAAAACATGAAATAACATTCAATTCTACACAAAAAAGGTATTCTTGTTTCAAATCAAAAAAGTACACAAAACAAGCAGGTACCTAGGTATGCTGTGAACTTAATGGCAAGGCAAAGTCAAGGCGTAAGTAAGAATTTGTTTACTATTTGTTGTCAAAGTGCAGTGCGAGTCATTATTTGTCAAAAGTGCTATTTTTTTATAAACCACTTAAGCTAAAGGTAAAATGCCACGTCAGAGTGAATTTTCTAATGTAGAAATGCGCGATTTGATCTGTTTGTATGCCCAGGAAAATTTTTGTTCTTGTAAAGCAGCTCAACGCTATTTCGAACTTTATCCCAATAGAAAGCAACCAAACCATAAAACTATTAGATCATTGTTCGACAGATTAGGCGAAACAGGGTCATTTCATACCAAAAACAGGAATGCTGAAAGACCGAGAGTAATTGATGCGGATATGGAGGATGAAATTGTTGTACGTGTTGCAGAAGATCCAGAAACCAGTACAAGGCTTGATTTTGCGGCCACTGGTATAAGCAAATCTACGCTGCCAAGAATAATACGGACAGAAAATCTGTATACGTATCGTTTTAATCCACTACAGAATCTTTTACCACAGGATTTTCCAGCAAGGCTCCGACCTAGTCAGTTTATGATAGGGCGGCATTTAGACGATCCAATGTGTTATAATAAAATTTTATTTACCGATGAAGCCACATATGATAGGGCGGCATTTAGACGATCCAATGTTTTATAATAAAATTTTATTTACCGATGAAGCCACATTTACTAGAAGGGGTGTGTTTAACTGGCGTAATAGCCATACCTATGCGACAGAAAATCCTCATGCATTTCGAGAACATCATTTTCAACATCACTTTTCCATAAATATCTGGTGTGGCATATTTGGGTATTCTATTGTAGGACCATTCGAATTCTTGTACAACTGAACAAGATAGAAATTTTGTAGCCTGAACTAAGAAGAAGAGTTTGTATGTACATAAAAGTACTATCAAACTAAGTTAGGATTTCACAATCAAAATTTAGGGTTATACCAGCAGATCAGATGTTGACATTATACACAGATGTGAGTATGATAGCCTTTATATGGTGGCGGACACCCCCTGGTACGTCTGGAACCAAACGATACATAAAGACTTAAAAGTACCATATGTCAAGGACGTAATAACGGAGAGAAGCATCACACCACAACAAACTAGAAAATGACAATATTATAATCTACTCCATCCTCTTCTTGAACTACACGTAAATATTAAGATTGAATGGACGCTGGCCAATGCATGGGATCACTAACAGGAGAATTTTACTGTCATCATGGCATATTGTTATCTTTTTAAAGACGAATCACATGCTATGATTTTTCTGACATATTCTCAAGAAAGTTGATGTCATGTAATCGAATGAACTATCTTACAATAAAGTCGTCCCAGGAACGCACTCAGCAATATCATTTTAAAGTCGTGTTCTTTAAAATATAATATATGTCTGAATTGTCAATATAAATGAGTCAGATAAAATTAAATTATTAGAAGAATATTTCACCAAGTAACAAAGAGCAAAATTTGTTTAATTTATTAACGTTTGTAAATAAATAAATAAACTTATTTTAAACATCAATAATTGTGTATTTTCCTATTTTTACACACATTTGACACTATTTTTAAGTTTGTATATCATCTATGCCGTTGGTTAATTTGACCGCGTAGTAAACACATTTATTGGAGCTATCCAAAGATTTATTAAAAATTCTAGAAGTATATTACAGACATTATTAAAGACGTGTGCGTATTTGTATATAAATTTACTACGAAAAGCTATAAGAACTGACCTGTTTAAATTTCTACTGATTTGCTGCAACATCCTCGTTTCAGCTTTTCTATTTACTAATTGAGCAGCATTCAGTTTAGCATTTTCCTTTTGCCAATATTCAACTGAGGATTTGAGCTCACTGTTATCTTTCTCAAGCTGTTTTATCTGATTTCTTAAACGTGCCTGTGTAGTTCCATTTTTTGTTTCTTTTAATTTAAGCAACTCCTTTACTTCCAATAATTCCTTTTTCAAATTCTCCATTTCTATACTTTCTTTCTTCTTAGGTCGGAGATCGCTTATGTACCTAAAAGAATATTAAGAAATATTTATTGGGATACTCCATGAACAATATGTAATCGGTAAACAATAGCATTCCTACATATCAACAAGGGCTTTTTCTCGGGCAAATTTTTTTCTTTCGTCTTCTAGTTCCTTTTGTAAATCTTCCACATCTTTTTCATAATCATTTCTTGATCGTTTGATTTCGCAGTTTAGTAAATCACATTGCCTTTCTAACTCCTTTACATGCTGATTAAGTTTTAAATTTGCGGACTAAAACAAAACCTTTATTAAAAAAAATATTAAAGAATACTGAATTCTTAAACGTAACAATATGATTGAAGTATTAAAGACTCTTTTTCACCGTTAACGACACGGGCAAGACAGGTCTCACGATTATGATCGTTAGTTAGATCTACTATAAGAAACATCAAATATGGCAAAGCTATAATAATACTTGACAAGTTTTGTGCAGAATTTTTAAAATTTCTCAATGGTCTCACTTATTTTGTTTAATATACTGTTTTATATCACTGGGTATAGTCTTTGACACTATTATGGTATGATCATTTTTGGTAGCTTGTTTTGCATAGAGGTCTGCTTTTCCATTACCTTGTATTCTCATCTAAGTTGGAACGCACATTAATTTGACTTCGGAGCCAGATTCTTGTAAGGCAGCAAGTTCTTTCTTGACTAGTAAGGCTATTGGGTTCTCAGTGTATAGTTAACTTATTGAGTTAACCAGTTTAAAGAATTTGTGATATTGACAGGAGAAGAATGATGTGTACTTTTGATAACTTCCTTTTAACTTTTTACAAGAATTTTACCGTTCTCCCTTATGCCAAAAGCTACCTTCTGTTAAGTGTGCCAATAAATGAAACCCGAATAATAAATCAGTTAAAAGTTTGCAATAATCACAAATTGAAACTTACTCTTAGTAGAGCCACTCACGGCATCAGTCCAAATGAAATTTGCACTTTTTTAATAGTATAGACTTTGAGACAATCGAACATCTTTTATTTAATTGTCCAATTTATGCATTAATGAAACCTGAAAGTGAGTACTGTTTATCCACTTTAAATAATTTTGTTCTTTCTCTTAACAATTCAACACCTGATTCCTGAGACCTGATTTTAATTTTATCTCGAGTGTGCTTAAATTCAGGGCATTTATAACCAATGAATCTTCTTCTTCTTCTCGTTGCACTAAAACCCGGGGTGGTTCTTGGCTGACTGCACAACTTGCTTCCATCTTGAACGGTCGTTCATAACAGTTGGGTCAGTGGGTAGCCCCATTGTTCTTAGATCTGACCATATATAGTCTCTCCACCGCATTCGTGGACGTCCTAAGGGCCTTCTTCCTGTGGGGGCTTCCTACCATATTAACTTGACAAGGCGGTTATTAGGGAGTCTATAGACATGGTCAGCCCATCTTAGACGTTGGGATTTAATCTCTTGGACTATGTCGCTCGCTCTATACATCTGCTTTACCTCAGCATTTGTTCTCATTCAATATTGGTTGCTATTAATGTCGTGATAAGGCTCAAAGATTCTTCTGACGATTTTCCTCTCAAAACATCTAAGTTTTCTTTCAGTTTCTTTGGCCCGGGTCCACGCCTCACACCCATACATGAGTAACGGTCTAATCGCCGTTTTATATATTCTAATCTTTGTTCGTAATGTTAGTTCGTGTTAGACTTTTAGATTTAATAGTATTGTAGAGGCTGTACATACAACTGTTTGCTGCCTGAATTCTTTCTTTATTCTCCTCCGCGATATCATTATCTGCAGTGATTGTTGCTCCGAGATATTTAAAACTCTCCACTCTTTCAAAGTTATATGGGTCTATTGTAACATTTTGCCCTATTCTATCTCGACCCTTTTGTCTGTTGATGCACATGTACCTATTTGGATTTCAAAGTTATATGGGTCTATTGTAACATTTTGCCCTATTCTATCTCGACCCTTTTGTCTGTTGAAGCACATGTATTTGGTTTTCTCTTCGTTTACCCTTAAACCAGTTTTCTTTGCCTCTACCTCCAATTTATTAAAAGTCTCCTTCACATTGGTGACTGTGTTTCCCACAATGTCAATGTCATCTGTGTATGCTAGTAGTAATTTTGGTCCATTTACTGTAAATAATTCTGTTTTAATTGGTGCTGCTCTTACTACTTTCTCCAGGATGATATTAAAAAGGAGAGGTAGTAGCACATCCCCTTGCTTCAGGCCACTGCTTATTTCGAAAGATTCTGAGAGTTTATTACCTATCCGTACTCTGGATTACAGCTATTCACACATAACTTAATAAGCTATATAAGTTTTTTTGGAACTGAAAGTTCTGCCATTGCATTCCACATCTGACCCCTTTTAATGCTGCCGTACGCTTGCAGTAAATCTATGAAGAGATTATGGATAGTTCTATTGAAGTCTCATCCTTTTTCAAGCAGCTGTCTTAGAGTAAAGATCTGATCTATGGTCGATCTATGTTTTCTGAAGCCGGCTTGGTATTCCCCCATGAAATTTTCTACAAACGGTGTCAGCCTACTTAATAGAATGTTCGATAAGATTTTATATGCCGTGTTAAGTAGGGAGATGCCTCTTTAATTAGAGCACTTGGTTTTGTCTCCCTTTTTATGGATGGTGATTATTACACTTTCGTGCCATTTTGTTGGTATTTTCTCTTCGTTCCATATAAGTGTTATTAGTTTGTATATTTGTCTATGAAGATTTTCTCCTCCGTACTTAAGGAATTCACCCAGTATATTGTCAGAGCCTGGAGCTTTTCTGTTCTTCAATTTGTGAATTGCTTGCAACGTTTCATCTATTTTATTTTATTTTATCTACCGGTAGGTCCACCCAAAAATATATTTTCTCCATGTTCTTTCTTTTGATGTATGTTTAGTATAGTCTTAAAATATTCTTGCCATTTTTTTCAGCAGTTCTTTTTCATTTATTATTAATTCATCATTTTTTCTGCGAGTATAGACACGCATCTAGGTCTGAAGCCTTTCTTTTCGTTTGACACTGATTTGTAAAATGCTCGACTATTTGACTGTTGCCTATTCCTTTCCATTTCTTCATATTTCTGTTGTTCGTACTTCTTTTTTTTCTCTCTCTCTAATTAATTTTCTTGTTTCTAGGCGTGAAGTTGCATAGTTTTCTTTACTTTCTGCTATTCCTTGTTAAAGCATAATGTTTCGCTTTATCTGTCTGTCGTGTAGTTTTTCTTGACATTTTCTATCAAACCATTTCCTTGTTCTCTTCCTGCTTTTTCCTATTATTAGTTCTGCTGACTCCATAAATGATTTTTCCATTTGTCGCCACAGCCTTTCGGCATCATTGCTCTGGTCTACTGTATTTAGACGCTGTTTAATTTCTTGTTTGTAATTTTCTCGGATTTCCTCATTTTGCATTTTCTCGATGTTCTACTGCCCCCATGCTTCGTTGGCCTTAGGTTTCTATGAAGATATTCTCAACCTGATTTTTGCTCTTATTAGGTGATGGTCTGTGTCTTCATCTACTTCCCTGAGGCTTCTTACATCCAGCATATTACTTCCATGTCTAGCATCGATAATTACGTGGTCAATTTGGTTCCGCGTGGAGTGATCAGTAGAGACTCAAGTCTGCGACCCAAGACCTAACCTAACCAATGAATGATATGGGCAAACCCCATTATTTTTAATTTCATAGACGCCTCGATTTATTGTCCTTCAGACTACTTCTAAATGATTTTTTGAAATTGTTTTCAATAAATATACTAGTTTCCAGTATATTAAAATGTCCTCAGGCTATTTTTTAAAATTAATTAATAGTGTGTAAGACGAAGAATTGTTAATTTCAATGAAAAAACGCGGAATTTACAGTGAGTATTTTAAAGAATAAGTTACATTTCCCTACATAACTTTTTCAGCATTCAGCATCCTGAAATATTTACTGAGGTTGCTTTTTATAGATGAGTGTACTATATGAATATGAAAGGTGTGCCACTAATGATAACAGACTTATAATAAAATTAATAAGCGTAGCAAACATTTTATCAATTTCCAAATTTTCCCTTTATAACTTTTTCAGCGTTTGTTATGTACAAATTTTGCTAACAGCGTTTTATTCGTTGTTGAAAAACAAAAGAATCTATGGTTTGTAGAAGTCTGTGCCATCAAAAATAAACCTTGGGTAACATTGTTTTCGTTGCAGCCTTATTCGTGATTAATTTTATTAAGATAAATTTTTTTAAGAGCACTATGGATATCATACGCATACCTTCAAAACTAGTCGTGATCATTAGTATTTGTGTTATACGATAATATTCCGAAAAGCTAAATCGTATACTTAATCGCTGAAAAAATAATAATAATAATAATTGTACCGTAAAATAGTTTCGAAACACAATTCAGATTTCTGCTTTAATCTGTGCTTTCTAAAAATTGCAAAGCAAAACAGACGTTGATGAAGGTCTTAAAAGAGACATGGGGAATCTAAAATTTGCATTCCACGACATGTCTTTTCAACTAAGCAGAAATCCTTAGCGAATTGGTTTCTTGTACTCGTACAGAGTAGATCCGAATAAAATGAAAAAGACAGCAAATATTTGATTTCACGCAAACAGCGCCTATGTATCTGTTGATACGTATTTCGACCTAATAGGTCTCATCAGAACAGTTATTCATAGGTGTTCTCAACGAGAAAGATCAATATTTTCTGTCTTTTAAGAAACAACACTAAAATGGCTTCGATATGGACGCAATAGCGACATCTGATAAAACCGTAAAATAGTTTCGAAACACAATTCAGATTTCTGCTTTAATCTGTGCTTTCTAAAAATTGCAAAGCAAAACAGACGTTGATGAAGTTGTTAAAAGAGACATGGGGAATCTAAAATTTGCATTCCACAACATGTCTTTTCAACTAAGCAGAAATCCTTAGCGAATTGGTTTCTTGTACTGGTACAGAGTAGATCCGAATAAAATGGAAAAGACAGTAAATATTTGATTTCACGCAAACAGCGCCTATGTATCTGTTGATACGAATTTCCACCTAATAGGTCTCATCAGAACAGTTATTCATAGGTGTTCTCAACGAGAAAGATCAATATTTTCTGTCTTTTAAGAAACAACACTAAAATGGCTTCGATATGGACGCAATAGCGACATCTGATAAAACCGTAAAATAGTTTCGAAACACAATTCAGATTTCTGCTTTAATCTGTGCTTTCTAAAAATTGCAAAGCAAAACAGACGTTGATGAAGGTGTTAAAAGAGACATGGGGAATCTAAAATTTGCATTCCACGACATGTCTTTTCAACTAAGCAGAAATCCTTAGCGAATTGGTTTCTTGTACTCGTACAGAGTAGATCCGAATAAAATGGAAGACAGCAAATATTTGATTTCAAGCAAACAGCGCCTATGTATCTGTTGATACGTATTTCGACCTAATAGGTCTCATCAGAACAGTTATTCATAGGTGTTCTCAACGTGAAAGATCAATATTTTCTGTCTTTTAAGAAGCAATACTAAAATGGCTTCGATATGGACGCAATAGCGACATATTTGTGCTATTGATGCAAATTTTAGATTTCCCATGTCTCTTTTAACACCTTCATCAACGTCTGTTTGGCTTTGCAATTTTTAGAAAGCACAGATTAAAGCAGAAATCTGAATTGTGTTTCGAAACTATTTTACGGTTTTATCAGTCGCTATTGCGTCCATATCGAAGCCATTTTAGTGTTGCTTCTTAAAAGACAGAAAATATTGATCTTTCACGTTGAGAACACCTATGAATAACTGTTCTGATGAGACCTATTAGGTCGAAATACGTATCAACAGCTACATAGGCGCTGTTTATACGTATTTGTCGAGGTTTTGATTTTTTTATGAGTGCACCAACCGCATGGGAAATAAAAAAAAATAAGATTTTGTATAAGCATTTGTGTTAACGAATAAAATAGAAATTTATAAATAAAAAAAAAAATCCAATGTTAAAAAATATTACATGACACGACTTTCTACGTTGTATGTGATTTTATATTTAATTGTACACGTGCATCTCTGCATAAAGAAATGATCGAGTTTTAGAAGTGAAGAATCTGTAATAGTACTTACTACCAAATTAGAGGATTTTTGTTGCAATTTATCAATCTGACTCCCAAGATCAATGCAATTTATGCAACCAACATCACTTTTAAAATCAGTATTTACAGCTTTATCTACATCCTTTCCCCTTAAAGTGGTTTCAAATTCACTGTAAAAACTTGAGTTAGAGAAACTGGTTGTTTTTTCATTACCTGAGGAATCCGATTCTGAAGTAGATTTTCTTGACTGATTATCTAAATAAATTAAAAAGAAATACAAGATTAGGATCAATATACCGCGTCTGAATCTCAACAAACACGAATATGGGATCGGATGTTTTTGACAGAGAAACATTAAGAAAAGTTATTCCATACCATATTCTTGTTTATTAAGATTCAGATGCGTTATGTTGAATGTGTGGGACGGCACGTTTCCAGTCATGATTTTGAAAAAAAAAGACTAAAAACCGACACTTAGAAACAATAATTGATTTCTGAGTGTTAGGAAATAAGAATTCTTCATCAGCATGACCAATGCTAAATCTCTGCAAAGTTTCTGTCAATTTAATTGAAGCCACTTTTGCATAAGTAAATAAGAAATACACCAGGAATACCTCAACCAATGACGCTAAGAGTTAAATCATGTGTCAGGTTTGAGGGAGGTCATTTTGAACATTTTTTTGCAGCTTTGAGCTTATTTAAAATTTTATTAGTGGTACTTTCTGGTATTGACAGTTACTGTTCTGGTTTAATGTTTTTGTATTAAATAGTTCTTGAGAATGTATTAAAGAAATAAAAAATATACGTTAAGATGTTTTTTTGTTTTCCATAAAAATGCCACCTCATATAAAAAAAGAAGAAATATTTTTTGTCACAAATTTACCGAATTTTTGTCACAATGATGTATATAAAGTTCTTACTTGTATGACAAAAAACGAGCAATAACCAGCTCTTAAAACTCACCAAAATTCATCTTTAAATCAAGATGTAATGGAATTCCTGAGTAGTTTCTTTCATGGTTAAATAGTTATCTTGATCAAAGAGATCAGTTTGTTTTTATAAAGGGTTCAATTTGGATTCCTAGCTTGGTCAGTTAAGGGGCCCCACAAGGTTCACATGTAGGTCCTCTTCTCTTTAATTTGTTTATTAATGATATTTCTGAGATAATAATGGTTTGGTTAGGTAGCGGGTAGGTACCCCTCTATGATCCCGATAGAGGGTAGACTTACTTCAGGGAGGTAGCGCCCCTGCCCACGCGAGCTACTGGTTTTCCCTCTACTCCCTACTTAGGGGAAACCAGGCCCAAACCCCAATATTATCCTACCCAAACCCCAAATTCCTTCCCTATATCCTCCCCCAACTCGCCAACACGTCTGGCCAGCGTGGCGTTTTAAGGCCAAACCCCCCGTAAACATGCAAAACACAAACCAAACACGGCCCTCAGTCCCCGGCAGCTCAAAAATCTCTGACCAAGGTAGCGGACAGAAAAGATTAAGAGCAGAGGGTGCTAAGAATACCCGGGATGGACCAGGCTACCACTCAAGACGGCTAAACTGCACAAGAATACTGCATCTTGCATCCTATAATATAAGAACCCTCTCAACCGATCATAAACTAACAGAACTAGAAAACGAATTAAAAACAATAAAATGGGATGTAATGGGACTTAGTGAAATTAGAAGGAGAGGAGAAGAACAACAAACATTGAAATCAGGACACCTGTTCCACTACAGAGGAGAGGAACATTCATCCAGCGGTGGAATCGGGATCATTGTACATAAAAAACACATACCCAACATAACGAAAATCGAGACCATAAGCACGAGGGTTATCCTATTGATATTAAAACTAAACTCTCGTTATAGTTTAAAAGTTATACAGGTCTACGCCCCGACAACTGGACACACAGATGAAGAAGTTGAAAAATTCTATGAGGATGTAGCAGAGGCACAACAAAGAACACGAACACACTATACTGTTCTCATGGGCGACTTCAACGCAAAACACGGATTCAAACAAGACCAAGCGGAGATCGCGTTAGGAAAGTACGGATACGGGGCAAGAAACGCAAGAGGGGACATGCTTTTAAACTTTCTACATCATCAATGCATGTTTCAAATGAACTCTTTCTTTAAAAAGAAACCCCAAAACAAATGGACTTGGATAAGCCCTGATGGCGCCGTCAAAAACGAAATCGACTTTATAATTACAGATAAAAAATATATAATACAAGACGTGGAAGTACTCAACAAGTTCTCTGCTGGCAGCGACCATAGGATGATAAGAACAAAAGTAATGCTTAACGTTAAAAAAGAAAGAATGAAGCTTGTTCCTAAACCAAATGTTAGAAGATGGGTACCACCTGAAAATGCAAAACTGTTTGCACATACGGTCGAAGAAAAATTACAAAACGAAGAAACAGAAAACATAAACATCGAACAACTAAACCAGAAAATAGTCAAAGCTCTGAAACAAGCACAAGAAAAATGTTGCCCAAAAAACCAAAAAGACGAAGAAAAACTAAGTCTAAGCACGAAAACTCTCATAGAGGAAAGAAGACAACTAACAGATAAATACAGAACCAATCTAACAAAAATGAGACAACTAAACAAATAAATCACTAAGAACATCAGAAAAGATATAAGAGACTACAACACCAGAGAGATATCAAAAGTCATAGAAGAGAACAAAAGTTTAAAAGTCTTCAGAAGGAAACAGCAAATAGGAAAGAAAAATATTTACAAACTGAAAAACACAAAGGGCGAAATAATAACAGATAAACAGGAAATTCTACAAACTGTCGGACAATTTTACAGCGAACTCTACAGCAAAACAGAAGAAAATGTTCCAACTGACAACATACCAAAGGTTCTAAACCAGGGCTCGGAAGACATGCCAGATGTTACTGTTGATGAAATCAAAAAAGCTCTCCTACAAATGAAAAATAATAAGTCACCTGGCGACGACGGGGTCGTTGCCGAAGCCATAAAATTAGGAGGCGAGAAACTGATACAAATGCTTTCCATACTTTTCACAGAATGCCTTGAAAGAGGAACAACACCATCACAATGGCAAAATGCAGTGATCGTTCTAATGTTTAAGAAAGGAGATTTAACAAATCTCGTAAACTATAGACCAATCAGCCTCATCTCACACATATACAAGCTTTTTACAAAAGTCATAACAAACAGACTTTCGAACAAAATGGACTTTTACCAATCATGCGAACAGGCAGGATTCAGGTCAGGCTTCGGCACAAACGACCATCTACAAGTTATTAAAAGCCTCATCGAAAAATGTATAGAGTACAATAAACCCCTCGTCCTAATATTTGTGGATTATGAGAAAGCATTCGACACAGTAAACCCCCAGAAAATGCTAGAAGCTTTAAAAGAGTGCCGAATAGATCACCGCTACACCACTGTCATCAAAAATATCTATGATAATGCCACGGCATGCGTCAGACTCCATGAAGATACACACAAGTTCAACATTCATCGTGGAGTTCGCCAGGGCGACACCATTTCACCAAAACTGTTTACAACATTATTGGAATACATGTGTAAGCGTGCAAACCTAGACGAAAAGGGCATAAACATAAATGGAGAGCAGCTTAGTCACCTCAGGTTCGCGGACGATATAGTCCTGATAACAGACCGCATAGATCATGCCATCGAAATGTACAAAAGACTCTACCATGCCTCTACACAAGTGGGTTTAAAGATCAATAACTCAAAAACACAAGTGATGACAAACCTTGTTCTGAGTGAGAACATCAACATAGCTGGAACAAGTATAGAACAAACATCAGCATACAAATATCTGGGACACGAAATTCGCTTAAGTAGAGATAACCAGACCAATGAACTAATACGTAGAATAGGGTTGACATGGGCAGCTTATGGAAAGCTAAGAGATGTTTTCCAATCAGCTCTTCCCATCTGCTTGAAGAGAAAAGTGTTCGATCAATGTGTGCTGCCGGTTCTAACCTATGGTGCGGAGACGCTAACACTTACTAAGACGTCCGCAAACAAAATTCGAACAACACAGAGGGCAATGGAACGGTCCATGTTGGGATTAACCCTGAGAGACCGAATACCCAACACAGAATTGCGCCGTAGATCGGGAGTAACCGACGCAATCAAAAGAATATCAACCTTAAAATGGAACTGGGCAGGGCACGTCGCGAGAACGAAGGACGGCAGATGGACAAAACGCATTCTTGAGTGGAGACCCAGACAAGATGTCTTTAGGAATAGAGAACGACCACCAACAAGATGGACGGATGACCTGAAACGGACACATCAAAATTGGATGCAGGCGGCTCAGGACAGAAATTTGTGGGGTGAACTACGGGTGGCCTATGTTCAGCAGTGGACGAGTATGGGCTGAATGATGATGATGATGATGAATGGTTTGTCAATTTTTGTTACTTGCTGATGACCTTGAAGCTATATTTCAAAATTTCAAACATATCTGACTGTCTAAGGAACGAAGAAAACCTGACTTCCTCATATAATTGGTCTCTTTCCAGCGGTTTTCAGTTTAATAAAGATAAGTGTTTTGTTATATCCTTTAGCAAATCTAAAAATAATGTGTTTAATTATCACATTAATACAAGCCTTCTTTCAAGAGTGGCCGAAATATAAGAGGTTTGGGATTGTTATTTGACAATTTCTTGTCATTTATTCCTCACATCAACAATTTATCAAATAAAGCTTACCGCAATCTAGGTTTTATCACAAGAACCTCTCTTTATATCTTACTTTCGTCCATAGAATCCTGTCTAATGCTTCAATAGTATGGTCACCATATTTTAAGCATATTTACACCCTTGAAAAAATTCAAATTAAGTTTCAAAATTTGTAGATTAAACTTAAAGAACATGTCTTTGATGAAACTAAGGTCAAGGCTAAATATCAGTTAACTAGAAGACTAGAGAACTAGATATGATCTAGTTCTCTAGTCATCATCATCATCTAGAATACAAATCTTAGCATATGCTGATGACATTGACATAAAATAAGGCGTAGCAAGCGAGATCTTGAGCAATATTTCCTAGAATTGGAAACTTAGGTGGTTAGTTGAAGTTGAGACCGACTTAAGGATATTAGAAATCAGAAGATGGCAACACCTTGCCAGAAACGGAACAGAATGATGACGAATCTTAGACCAGGAAAGTATTCACAGAAGATTGTCGAGCCAAAGATGATGATGATGATGATAGGCAAAATGCTCTAATTCCCAGAATTAATTTTTTTAACATTTTATGTGATTAAAAAATAAGGCTCAGTGCAATTTTAGCCAGCCAGTTTTTCTGATTTTTGAAGATGACGCAAATGTTGAAGGTAAATAAAAATTAGATATCCTGGTTTAGTTACATTAGCGGAGTGGAAAAATCTTCAAAGAGAATGGTGGCTAGTATTACCATTTATTGGTTTAATGTATACGTTCTGTAGATTTCAACATGAACATATCAATTGTAAAGTTCATGTTCAACTAACGGAACTTACACTCACAGACGTAGAGAGTGTAGTCAGAATCCAAAACGACTTTTCAATACCCTTCCATTGTAAAAATAGACTGAGACAGGGAGATGGACTGTCGTGTCTCTTATTTAACCTTGCACTAGAAAAAGTAATTCGATAATGCCATATTAATACGAATGGCAACATCTTTAATAAATCTGTACAAGTGGTCGGATATGCCGATGACATAGACATTATTGCTAGGTCCACAGAATCTCTGTTAGAAGCATTTCGATCATTAAGGGCGTTTGCACTGAGAATGGGATTAAAAATAAACGCACAGAAAACAAAGAATATGTATTGTACTAGATCAGGCAACCAGATACCTAGACTGTTAATTGATGATCTGGAACTGGAAAGTGTTGACACCTTCGTCTACTATATAAACACTAATAAGGCCAGTGTTAACATACGGGTCAGAAACGTGTTCACTTATACAGAACGACCAAGAACTGCTGAAAGGTTTCGAGAGAAAAATTCTAAGGAAAATATATAGAGAAGTCCAAGAACAGGGTTTGTGGCGTAGGCGCTACAATTTTGAGTTATACAGAAGTTTTGGGGAACCTGACGTTGTAAAATGTATTAAATTAACACGCCTTCGATGGATAGGACATGTAATTACGTGAGATGAAGATACAACGATCAGAAATATTTTCGGCCGAAGAGGACCAGTGGAAAGACGATACAGAGGAAGACCAAAACTTAGGTATCAAGATAACATAGAGGATGTTCTGAAGAAGGCTTTGGCTCATGACGAGCTGTAATGCCACTGATGATAATACAATATAAAGTACTTGACCATAACTAGAAACCTAGTAATGTGCAAACCAGTGATCAAAAACAAAACTCTAGAACAGATATCACAGTTCAAATACATAGGAATTGATCGTTCCAGTGAACATGATCTGCTCACTGCAGGCTTATTTAAAAAGCTTTATCAACAAATCACAATTGTGTCAGAATTTCTAATAGATGTAATTTAGGACAATGTGACAGTACCCAGTAAAGTTAGAATATACAAGACTTGCACTAGACCTATTATGATATATGGAATAGAAAGAAAAAAATTAGAGTACAAGGTGTAGCAAGAATAAGCCACAATTAAAGTTTAAAATAATTGGCAATATCATTTTAAAGTTGTCTAAAATGAGTCACATAAAATAAAATTATTAGAAGAATTTTTCAGTAAGTACTTAACAAAAAACAAAATTTGTTTAATTTATTAATGTTTTGTATTTTGAGAATGCTTTCTGAATTAGAAATCGAAACTTCAAAAATACTTATTTTAAACTTAAATTGTGACTTATTCCCAATAAAATAATAATGGATATCACAAACAAGAAAGGCTACCAGAATGATAGAGAGATAGTTGGCATTCAGTAATTCCCAATAAAATAATAATGGATATCACAAACAAGGAAGGCTGCCAGAATGATAGATGGATAGTTGGCATTCAGTACCCTGAGATCCAATAGATTGAAAGATCTTAAAAAACAGAAGACATATTTCTCTGATTACTGTGAACAGTTTATATTAATGCAATTATAAAAATTTTACATTTATTTACCTGTACAATATTCATTTTTATTCTGTGATGAAAATTTCAAACAGTTCAAAACTTTATTAAACAGATCATTACTTTTGAGTTCTTGGTACAAATTCAAATCTTCAGTGACTGGCCCCTTTTTAGGAGAAGTATTATTACTTGGATTATTGGCTAGTAGCCTTACTATACTGGTGTTTGTTGATAAGAAGCTGCTATGATTGGCTTTTTCTTCTAACATTTCAAATAGTTTTAATTCATTAGCTGATTTATCACTACATAAGTTTTCTGGGAAATCTTCTTTTTCATGTTTATTAGATTGTGAAGAATTATGCCTAAAATTTGAGATTTTTTAATACAATTTTAATATGCATTTTGATACTGGTTCAACCATGCATTAAACAATGATTATTTAACTCACAGTCATCAACATTTAAATAGTTCATTGTTCAATTAAATATATAATAAATACACTTGGACAGTGCAAAAACAAAATAAGTATATTTAAGTAATTTAGTGAAAGATAATTGGGGTTCAAAGGAGTAGTGAGGCGCAATACAAGATGTTGCTTCCAGATAACACCTCTAGCTTCACCCACTCAATTCCTATCCTCACCTCAAAGAAGTGTGATCTTGATCACACGGCTGAACCCCGGTAAACCTGAGCAACCCGGTAAACCTGAGCAACCCTATTGGAGTTTGGGTAACCAACCCTAATGGAAGGTGGGGTCAGGGCGGACAAGGAAGGGAGAAAGCATAGCTTGTTCAGAAGCTATAGCCAGCAGCACTGGACTCGGGTGCAATAGGCTGATAACCCGTTCACCTTAAACTCAGCTATCAAGAATTCTAGGAACAATTAACTAACCGGACGGACCAACGGACAACGACCAAAGCTACGGAATAAGGACTTAATGATGGATTTGTGACTGGGAACCTGGAATGTCCAAACCATGCTGCAGGCAGGCAAAATGCAAAGTATTGCACAGGAACTATTAAAGTATGAAGTAAACATAGCAGCCCTCCAAGAAATCAGATTTAAAGGGCATGGTTGCATAAATAAAAAGAATACAGTATGTACTACTGTGGAGCAGAAAGACAAGGCGACATTGGAGTGGGTTTGGGTTTTATGGTAAACCATAAATGCCGCAGGTCAGTATTGGGCTTCACTGCAGTTAATGAAAGAATATGCAAAATATGTCTAAAGGAAAAATTTCATAATATTACAATTATTAATATTCATGCCCCAACAGAAGTAACTAGTAACGAATCAATTCTATGACCAACTCCAAGTAGAATGTGAAAACACACAGAAGAGAGTTATAGTCCTGGGTGATGTGAACGCAAAGCTGGGAAAAGAGCCAATATATGCAGAATCCTTTGGTAAGCATAGTTTACATATTACCAGCAACAATGGTATAAGAGTGGCACAGTTGGCAATGGCAAACAAACTAAGAGTTGTTACTATGTGTTTCCCATAAAAATATTCATAAAGGAACCTGGATGATACTAATAAATTTGATCAAATTGATCACATATTAATGTCTAAGCCAGGGGTGTCCAACTTGCAATGCCTCAAGGGCCAAAACTAAAACCTTGCATGTTGTCGCGGGCCATATAATAATTTTGTTACAAGTAATAACAAAATAAAGTGAGGTATAAAAATAATTAAAACAAAAAAGAGTATTATTTCTTTTATAGCTCAACAACTATATTTTTTTATAAACGGAAAATTTATTGATAACACTTTTCAATAATCAAGACAATTATTGCAAAAGCAACGAAAAAGATGTATCCAATTAGTGTGAGGACTGTGGTCGATCGGCTTCATCCACCAATGAAGAAATGTCCACCTCCAGTTCAGTTGTAGATACTCTCATAAGATGACTTAAGGGAGAATCGGTAAGGTTGCTTCTGTTTTTATTTTTTATATATTTCATGGAGGAAAAGGCACTTTCACATGTATAAGTGCTTCCAAACATTGACGTCATTTTCAGTCCAATGATTAGGAATATGTCTGCTTGAAGATCACATAACTCAAGCTGTAAGTTGGGTGGTTGATCATCAATGGTTGCTCCAAGAGGGTTATTATAAAGTAGTACACTACTTTTGAGACTCAATTTCTTTAAATCTTGTATTGAATTCATCAATAACTTGTTCAATTTGTGAAATGCAGGATGAAAACTCAATATTTTCCTCACCGTTGAATTCTTCTGCTATTTGCAGACAGCTACGGAAGTGTGTCAGGTTGTAATTTTCCAAAGCACGTTTAAACACGTTCAGCTTATTCCGGAATCCGTTTATCATTCCGATCAAATCTGAAACCGTCTGGTTTCTTCCTTGAAGACTCAAGTTTAACATGTTAAGATGATTAGCCAGATCTGTTATAAAAGCTAACTGTCTTAAGAATTCTAGATCCTTAAACTTCTCTTCCAGTTCAGTTGTGTCAGATGAAACGTATTTGTTGAGGAATGCAGGGATTTCCTTTCTTATGGCAAAAAATCGTTCCATGCACTTTCCTGCACTCAGCCACCTTACATGGTTGTACATTAGCAAGTCTCCATATTCAGCCTCTGTTTCCACTAAAAACTGCTTAAGTTGCCTGTGTAAAAGAGATCGATTTCCACCTCTAATCATATTTATAATCTTAATCACGGTTTGGAAAACTTGATCTTCCTTGACTGATTTTCCACATAAAGCTCTCTGGTGTATGAATTGTTGGGCAAGTGACACCATTCTCTCGAAGCAGACCCACTAATCCAATTTTTTTACGTGTCATTGATGGGGCCCCGTCTGTTGCTATGGCTGAACATGTATCAAAGCCTCCAATTCTGTCAACTGTTTTCTTCACAGCCTCATAGATGTCTTTTCCTTTCGTTGTTCCATAAAGAGGACAAATATCAAATAACTCCTCTTTACTGGTAAAATCATCAAAAGTAGTGCGCACAAATATTAACAGCTGACTAACATCGGTTTGATCAGTGCTTTCATCCAAACAAAGTGAGAAATATGAACTTTTCTTAACCAGGCTAAGCATAGATTTTTCTACTTGCTCACCCATAGCAACAATCCTTCTTTGTATGGTTTGATGTGAAAGTGGCACTGATTCAAATTTCTCCGCCATTTTAGAATCACCGAAAGCTTTGGCCATTTCAACAGCACATTTTTTTATCAAATTGCCATCAGTGAAAGATTTTCTTGCCTTTGCCAGCTCAAGCGACACGGCATAAGATGCATGCAAAGAATGCGTTTGAGAGTGTAATATTTTACTGAACATACCAGTTTGCTGTTTAAGCTTTTTCTTCAAATCTGCAACTAGCGCACGCCGACTTTCATTTGTGTACGTAGCATACTTATTTTCATGCACTGTTGTGTAATGTCTTCTCACATTATATTCTTTAGGCACTGAAACGACATTCATGCACACTAAGCACTGCAACTTTCCATTATTGTTAGCAATCAAGTAATCACTCTCCCAACTTTCTTTATAAATTCTGTTCTCACTATCAATTTTCCGTTTTATTGGTTTTACGCTCATTATTGTATAAGAGGAAGCAAGACAAATAATTAATCAAGTTCACTGTTAGTAGCACACAGGCACGATACGATAGCAGAGAACTACGAACACTGCGTTCGTAGTTCTCTGACGATAGCGGCTGCCGACGGATGGTAAGCAGTGGGAGGTGTGGTCTGCGTGAATTGTGATGCACAGTAATCAGTGCAGTTCTCATAGTGGTGGAGGACGATTGTGTTCGGTACACGTCCGCGAAGCGGCACGCTGTACAGTACTTGTGATGTAAAAACACAGCTAAACCATAAAATATAAAATAAATTAAAAAATCTTTTTTTACAGTGGCATTTAAATATGCTTTTCGAAAATCTTACGTGGGCCACAAAAAATAGCCTCGCGGGCCGAATGCGGCCCGCGGGCCGCCAGTTGGACAACCCTGGTCTAAGCAGTGGGCAACATCCGTAACGGATGTTAGAACTTATAGAGGCGGAAATTGCGATTTGGACCATTTCCTGGTTATATCGAAGATAAAACAAAGAATAAGAAAGAAAAGAGAAGAGAAAGGCGCCAAACAAAGAAAATGGAACACATATATGTATAAAAACATATATGTATAAAAACATATATGTATAAAAAGAAGAATGAGTACCAGCAGAAAATAAAAGTAATATTAAATGAAGGAGGAGAACAAAACAACATTGAAGAAGATTGGAATGTCATCCAAACGACAATTACAAATATGGCAAAGGAAACATTAGGTGAAACCTCTAGCAAAAGAAATGAGGAATGGTTTGACCAAGATTGCCAACGACTAGAAAATTTTACAAGGAAACCAAGCAATACACAAAGGATACATGACAAGATCAACAGTTTGCAATGACTAAAATGGGGTAATGGGGTAATAAGTAGAAAGAGGAAATAATGAAAATGTGGAAGGAGCATTTTCAAGAGCTGTTAAAGCCAGAAAAAGAACTAATTACTATTTATAACTGGGAATAAGCCACAATTAAAGATAAAAATACGTTTATTGACGTTTCAATTTCCAATTCGGAAATCGTTCTCAAAATACAAACGTATTTTGAGAACGATTTCCGAATTGGAAATTGAAACGTCAATAAACGTATTTTTATCTTTAATTGTGGCTTATTCCCAGTTATAAATAGTAATTAATTTACAATGCCACAAGAAAATAGCTTCAGAACAATATTCAGAAAAAGAACATAACGAAAATGAAAAAATAATTCACCCCACAGCAGAACAACTAGTTGAGCAACCAACATTGGAAGAAACGATAAACGTCATAAAACATTTAAAAAATAACAAGGCACCTGGTATAGATGGAATAACTGCAGAACTGATAAAGAATGGTGGACATGCGCTATGGAGGCGTATCCATAAACTAATCGACCGCATATGGACACTAGAAGTCATCCCAGAAGATTGGAAAGTAGGAATCATACTTCCTATGTACAAAGGGGGAGACAAACGACTCTGCAAAAATTATAGGGGCATAACAGTTTTAAATGTCGTCTACAAGATACTATCAGGAATTATATACAGCCGCCTGGAATCGTTTTAGGAGGAGATAATTGGTGAATACCAATGTGGCTTCAGACCAAAGGGGTCAACTATAGACCAAATACATATGTTAAGAGGTATACATGAAAAATGTGTTGAATATAACATACCTATTTACAACTTGTATATCGATTTCAAACAGGCGTTTGATAAAGTAGATCGACAAAAGATGTTAAAGCAACTGTTAATGACTCTGAAGGGTTCCAAAGCTATGATGAAAATAGATGGATATAAGACACAGGCCTTTGAT